CCGCCGTTGATAGGTGGCGGTGCTGCGAACCCGTTGCCCTGCGTGATGGCAAGACGCGTGAAGCCGGGGTTGATCATAGGCGCCTCGGCCTCAGCCTGCTCCTTCTGCACCTCCTTCTTGCTCTGCTCCTCGACCTTCTTCTCGAGCGCCACAAGCTTCTCGCGCAACGAACGCGTTTGCTGGATCCGGTACGGCATGTAGAAGTCGTTGAGCCCGTGTTGCCATGACATCTCTTCGACGATATCCGAGTGCAGGAGGTCGAAGCAGATGTAAAGCGTCGCAGCGAAGCACTCCTTGTTGCCGATGTCGACGAAGTAGGATAGGAGGTCCTCGGCAACAGCCGACTCGCCCGATGCAGCGGCGGTGACCATCGCGTCCTTGTACAGCTTGTCCTGCTTGCTGAGCGCGATCGACTCGTCCCACTTGCCGTTTTTCTGAACATGATCATCGTTAGGAATATACCGTTGACGCAGTGGTCGACCAAAGACGGACCTTGTACAAGTGCGCCGCTAGCCTGCGGAACTCCAACAACCCGTGCTGCTCGAGCTCCCGCGCCAACTCAATGTTCTTGAAGTTGTCGAAGCTGTCGACAGAGTCGCGAAGGGTCTTATAGTCTTCCTCCTCGATGAGCAACGAGTTGTACGCCTCGTTGACGGCCTCGATATTGAGCTGCGCGAATCAACCAGTGAGCGAACATAGACAGCGAGGAGACAGCGGAAGAACATACATGCTGGACGGCGATGAGGTATGTGCGGATGAGCGGGATGTGGTCGAACTGCTGCCTCGAGAACATCCGTACGACACGCGAGTGGTCAACGCGGGGGATCAAGACCGATAACAAGTCGGTAACAAGCAGCGGCTGCTCCTGTACGTAGAACGACAACGCCTTGTAGTAGCTGCACAATCGCGATCAGTACACCCATCCAGACCCAAACTACGAGCGACGACGTACATTTCGATGTTTGCCACGCGCACAATGACGTCCTTGAACTGGTTGTGTTCCCAAGCGTCGGCCGAACGCTCGATCATAGCCAGCGCAGCGTTATCGAACTCGTCGTACTTGATGTACAAGAAGACGAGCTCGGGCCAGAGATGCGCCTTCTCGGCCGCCTTGATGACCTTCGGAATGTTGATGCGCGAGACAAAGAGCTTGAGGTGCTCCATAAGCTTCTCGGGCTTGTACTTGGAGTACAAGATTGCGAGCTCGGTGAAGATGCCCATCTGCATGTATCGTTAGCATTCGAACGTATCAGATAGGAAAGGCGACAAGAACGTACATGCGCGCGCTCAAGCGACAAGCCGGCCTCGAGGAGAGCAAGGATCTCAGCAAAGTGACCCTTGTACTCATAGCCCTTGATGAGCGTCGGCAGCTCCTCGGCATGCACGATGATGTTCAGACCGCAAATCTGCGCCAGCCTGAACTCGCCCTTCTCCAAACACGCCGCATGCACCTGCTTCCAGACCTGCGTGTTGCCCGCCTTCCTCGCGCTCTCCACAGCAGCCTGATTCTCGCCGAGGTAGATGAGCGTAGTCGCGAGCCTTGCCCAATTGGAGATGGACGTGAAGAGGAGCTTGGCGGCCTGGTACAGCGAATCCTCGAAGCACTTCTCGCCGACGACGAGAATGTCCGCGACGTTGGTGAAGTTGAGGAAGTCTTCCATGTCGTGCAGACGGTCCGTCTTGGCGTAGGCGTAAGCGAGCTCCGTGTCGATCTTGGGCTCGCGCAGGGTCTTGCGTGCCATCTGGAGGTACCGGACAAGGTCGTCGTGTTTTCCGGCGTGGTTGGCGATCTCGATGACCTCGGCGAAGTTCGAAGGGTCTCCGGCCTTGATGTAGGAGTCTGCATGAGCCCATCAGCGTCGAGTCATGAGAGTATTACAGATGGAGAAGGAACATACCGATGGCGTCCTTAATGCGCAACCCATCAAGCTGCGCCTTTGCCAACCGACTCCAGACCTCCGGCTTGTTCACCTTCGTCGCATACTCCAGCCCGCGATCGATGGACACGATGTATTCAACGAGCACATTGATAGCATTAACATGCTGCTCGTGCTTCTTGTAGATCGTAAACGCCTCTTCGTACAGCCCGTTGTTGATGGCGATCTGCGGGATCTCCTCGACGTCGTAGTTGTCCAGCTTGTTGATGTAGCCCACGACCTTGCCCTTGTCAGCGCGAATAGCGGTGAGCATCAACAAGTTCTGCAAGCTGCCGTTATCGCTGAACGGCGAGGGCTCGAGGATGATCTTCTCGAGGATCTCAATGAGCTCGATGGGGAGGCTGGCGTCGATGAAGGCCTTGACGGTAACGGAGACATCGTCGGGATCGGTGCTTTCGGGGACGGCGGTGGAGACGACTTGGTCGATGAGCTGGCGGCGGTGGATGTTGTCGGGCACGAGGACCTGCGCCCAGAGCTCGGGACGGCGGCGCTTGACGAGGTAACGGGCTTGTTGCTTGAACATGGAGTTCTCGTTCGTCATCGCGATGAGCTCGTCGTCGCAGAAGCCCTTGGCGTAGGCGATGTACGCGAGCGCGGGCTCGCGTGCCTCGCAGAATTTACCGATGACCAGCGGCTCGTAGAGCTGGAAAGAGCGAGAGCGTAAGCATCGTCATTGGCTATGGGGTTAACCGTGTACGCACGTTGTTCTCCTTTAAGAACTGCTCGGGATTGTTGTTCGAGTCGATGTAGATCTTCGCGAGTGCGTTGTACACGGCCTGTCAAGACGAATAAGTCAACATTCACCCACATGAATCAACGCAGGAAACTCACCGGATCCTGAGAACCCTGCTGCACGCGCGCGTCCAACCACGGCAAGATCAACTTCAACCTGTTCCTCTGCTCGACCTCCTGCACAAGCTCGTCGATCGGGAAGTTGCCCGTGACGCTCGCCAACAAGCCCTTGATAGTCGTCTCGTCGCAATCCACATCCAACAATCCACCAACGACCTGCGGCGTCCTGACGCTGTTGACGCGCTGCACGTAGACCTCGATGAACTTGGTCAACCCGTTCTGGTATAGGTACAGCACGAGGTCGTGCACGAAGTCGAACCGGTCGCAGACGATGATGAGCGGGAGCTGGTCTTGGAGCTTGGCTTCTTTGAGGAAGTTCTTGACCTTCTCCGGGTTGTAGTGGTTCGACTCGCGGACGATGCGCTCGACTTCGCGGATCTGGCCGGTGCGGACGGCGGCTTGGATGTACTTGAAGTGGACCTCGGGGTCTTCAGAGAGGTTGACGATCGAGCCGAGGTAGTAGTAAAGACCTATGTGTCACGGAAAAGTTAGCTTCGGGCACTAGAGTCGGAGATGAAGAAAAGACAACACACCCTCGAACGTCTTGAACGATTCGAACATCTCGATGAGCGGGAGCGGGCCGAGAAGGTCGCTGTACTTGGTCGCGATCTGCACGACAACTTGAAGGTTCTGGCGCATGTTGACGCGCATCATCTCGTTGAGGCAGGCCATGGTCTGCTCTTGCGTGAGGCGCGCGAAGTAGTTGACGAGCCAGTCGACCGGGAGGATGTTCGTATGTACGATCGCGCGCTTGATGTCCGCGATGTCCTCGTAATGCTCGAGCGCCTGCAGCAGTCTATCAGTAAGAGTCAAGAGGAGATATTGACAAAGAACTTACGCGTTGAAGGAGGCCGGCCTTCTCGCACAAGTTGGCAATGCGCGGGCGGTCGTAGTGTGAGAACATCTCGTTGCCGAGGATGGCGTCCGCGACCTGAGGCGCATGCAGCAAGTTCATCTCGAGCAACCTTGTCTGCAGATGCCCCTGCTCCGGCTTATTCTCCTTGAGCGCGTCCAACAAGAAGCTCGTCGCAGGCTGGATCATGTTCTGCGCCATGAAGATATCGACGACGCGCTCGACGTCGATCAAAGGCCCTGACTCGTTGTTCACGAGCTGTGCGGCGAACTCGGCACCTTTGTCCGGGTTGGTGCGCATGATGTGTTGCAGGAGACCGACGTAGTCTGGGTGGAAACCGACTTTGTTGGCGTAGAGCAGGATCTTGTCGGTTTGGCCGGTCTCGGCGAAGCAGGCGATGACCTTGTTGGGGACGTTGGCGCGGAGGTACACGGAGAGGGCGAGGGTGAGGTCATGTAGGCGGACGATATCACCGAGCTCCTCGCTGCACGTCAACTACGGCGTGATGTTAGCCTTGTGTACCAAGTATATCAAGACGACGATGGAATACCTTGTTCTCCTTCAACCACTTCTCGAGGAGCTGCTTGCGACCCTGCTGGAGCACAGGACGCGCGAGCTCAACGGACTCGAGATGGTTGAGTTCGCCCTTCTCGAGCAAGATGCCGAAGTACTGCAAGATGGGCGACATGCCGCCGGGCGGTGCAGGCGCCTGCTTGAAGCTCTCGATGACCTGCGCAGTACGAAGGATCCCACGGGGCGAGTTGGCCGCGATCTTCGCCGCCTCGCCGAAGTTGCCGGACTGGAAGAGCTGTTGGTACTGCTTGATGTAGAGGTCGTCGGCACCAGGCAAGTTTCCACGCGAGGCGAGCTTGAACGCGAGCTCGGTGTTGTTGAGCGTTGTCAGGATGTACGGGATTAACGTTTGCTCGTCCACGCTGACGGACAGGACCTGGCCCTTGCGGTTGACGCAGAGAATGCCGTTTGTGGACTCGTGATCGCATGCGGTGAAGATTGTCTCGCCAGAGATACGGTTCATGTAGATGCATGCACCGGACTCGAGGTCATAGAGGTGGATGAAACCGTACTTTGTCGCGAGGTAGACGATGCCGTGCTTCTTCGATACCTGCATGGCGACGGGGAAGTCGTTGGTCGCTTCTGGCGGGAAGTAGACGTCGACTGCCTTCTTCGTGAACGGCGGGTCGGGCGCTTGGTGGTCGATCTCGACGACGTGGAGCTGTGCACTGTATTAGTATAACGTAGATATAGAATATACTGATATCTCTTACCTTTGCGCCGGTTGCTGTACGGACGGAAAAGGCAAAGAGCTTCGTAGGATGTTGGCAACCGTCGAGCTTGACTTCGGCAAAGGACGCGGCGTGGCCCTCGATGGGCTGGGAGACGCCACGCTCGCGCGAGTAGAGCTGCATTGCGCCCTTGACCTTGAACGCGCTCGGGTTTGCGCTATTTCCGGCAATGCCGATGAGGGCCATCCACTTGTCGTCGGCCGAAACGCGGTAGTTGATGATCTGGGAGCCGGCGAGCGTGGGATGGCGGTCGAACACCTTGGTTGGCGGCGTGGTCTGGTCTGCGATCGACCAGTGGTAGACGGCTGTTTCTGTGACGAGGCCGAGGGTGTTGTCGTTGACCCACTTCCAGAACACGACGTCCTCGTTGTGCACGTGCGACTTGACCTTCTGCTTCGTCTCCAGATTCGAGACCTGGAGCGTGCGCCCGCCGGCCTTGAGGGCGAGGATGCGCTGGTGCGGGTGCATGATCACGCTGTCGGCCGTGATGGGTCGTCGGAGCACATTGTTCGCGTCGGCCAAGTCAATAATCACGACTTGATTCTGCTCCCCGACCTTCTCCCGGACGGCAATGAAGCGGTCCGACTCGAGCGTCAACGTCTGCGCACCGACGCGTCAGTATATCCTGATACATATACCGCAGTCAACTTTACCTGGAAGGAGATGGAGGCGGGTTGGATGCCCAGGCTCGAGAGCTGGAGGTGCTCCGAGAACTGGATCGGTTTTGAAATATCCATCGTCGGAAAGGAATGGGAGGGAGGGAGGAGGGGATGGCGGGGCGGAATAAACTCCAAACGGCGCGCGACCGTGTTGATGGCGTCGACGCGCGCTCTCCCGCGCTTCGACTTCGCGGGTCGCGGCCTTGCCCCGTAACCACCACCATCACCGAAGCTCTGGCGTAACCTACTTCAATCCTTGTATGCAACGAAATCAATATATGCAATGATCCCCCTCTCGCGTTTATCTGGTCTACACCTTTCGATCGTGTCCGTGTCCTCGAGCCCGCTTTCTGCGGGGGGTTGCCCTGTCCGAGCTCAAAGGCAGCATCCCGCATTTCGAAAGGACTGCATCTCGTCAGGCCCGGTGCCGAAGGTGTCAATGGAGGCAGTCGCTTACGGGGGAGATGTAAGGGAAACGGAACGTGTGCAACACATTTGCAGTGTTCTCCCAGTCGCCGTGGGACATCTGCCCCGCAGAATCTGTATATTCTCTGAGCCGTGTTTTATCAAGACTAACTCCAGGTTCTATGGTTATTGGCCACAAACACGAAGTCTTAGTGGATGATACTCAATAAGCCCGACCATGCCGGGCCCACTACGAGTGAACGAAAGCCACAAAGCGTCGATGGCACTCGGCGTTTCTATATATTCGCAACACCCTACCATCGTCGAGCCACATCAGACACTATCAGCCCTACTGTTATCCAGCAGCGTGGTGCAATATAAACAAAGCGTGTAATATGGGGAATGCGGACCAGGTAAGTCCCTCTGAGCCTCATGCGAACGAGCGCGGACATTGACTCTCTCGATACAGAACGCGACTTCGCACGGGATCCATAGCTTGGCTCCTGAGACCTTTATCCAGATCCTCGTGTATCTTCGAGACGAGGACCCGCCTTCGAGAATATCGGGGTCGCTGGGAGCCGCTTCTCGCGAAGTAAAACTGGGTTGGCTCAACGCAACTCACGTGTCAAGATACTGGAGATACACCCTTCTGGCGAACCCGTCTTTCTGGACTGAGATCCCAATGGACTTGGGTCCCGTCTGGACGGGCGCGTTCGCGGACCGCTCCGAATCGAAGTCACTTGATGTATGCCTTGACGCTGTCAAGCACTCCCCTTGGGTGAAGGACTTTGTGGACGCCAATTTCCACCGTATACGCAGTCTCGAGGCTAGCCGGACGGTAGTGTGGGACTCTGACACATTTCTTTATGACCTTCTCAAGCGTCCGTCACCGATGCTTCAGACCTTGAAACTGAATCGCGATTGGAAGGCCCTGGAATGTCCTCGGCTAGCGGTACTGTACTCCGGACTTCGAACGCTGCATCTCGCCTTCTGGGCGATGTATGTAGACACGTTTCCGTGGCGTGAGATATGTCACGCCGGGATCATAGACTTGTCAATCATGCTTCATTCGCCCGGGGAAGGGATGTCCCGGGCACTCGTCGACGTTCTATCCTGCCTTCAGCGACTTTCGGCCTTGGTCACATTCAAGATGGTCGTTACGCGGCCCACACATAACGACGAACTCGTAAGGTCTCAGAATGCGATCACCACGAATGACGTGACCCCCTTTCTGCTTTCAAGAATCAAGAGCTTTACATTGGACGCATACATGGATCTGGCGGCCACCTTGTTACCGCACATCAGACTCTCAAGCTCAGCACTCTTGAATCTGCACTTAAAGGGCTTAGTCGATCGAACCTCCTTTCACGCTACCCTCTTACCCTTGATCACACAACACTCTGATGCCAGGTCCTGCGCTGAGATAAGCTTAAAGTCCGCCTACCCGGATCCGGGATCAGTGTTCTACGCTTCGTCCTCCACATTACCTATCACCTGTGATAGAATGGGTCCTGTCCATCGCGATCGCGATACCTTTCTACGTCTCAACCTTGACTCCTCCGACTTCATTCCCGACCTTCTGAAAGCTGTCGGGGCAGAGACTATCCGTCTTGTTAACGTAGATGCCGCTGTTGAGCTCATATTCAGAGAGGGTTCTCCACTCCCCCACGTCGCGGAGTTGTGCCGGAATGCCACCTGCCTCTCCATGAGATTGGCGTCAGCAGTGCAACCTGCCCACGGCCAAGGCACGAGAGCCGGCCTTCTCGCTGTAGCCCTTCGCCGGCTCTTACTCCCCCCTAGCGGAGATCTAACAGCAGGGTGTCCCTTCAAGACTACCTTTCCGATGCTCGCTGCTTTGGATCTCACACGCGTAGGCAGTCATATGCTCGACCGCTGTGCATACCCTGAGCTGGCAAAGCCGAACAAGCTCGCGATGCCCCCGACGTTTGCGCAGGTTTTCGCAGACATCGTCGCTGCGAGGCGGGAGTCTTGTGCTATTATGCCACACATTTATCTGAGGGGGCGGAAGAATCAGGACTTGGGATCGGTGGGATCAGCATTTGAACAAAGAGTCTTTGAAGTCATCTGCTCTATACCGGAGGTGGTATTCCTTTCGGAAGGAGAGTCCATCGTAGTTGACGGAAGTTCTGGGGACGTCAGGGTAGCGACAGGGTAGCGAGGGATCTACTGATGCGTATAAGCGATGTACGATATAGAGTGTGTGACGCTTGTATATGATATATATGAACTGGATTTTATGATTGTAAAGTCAGACTTGAGGGAGTATGAGCTCGCAGATCAGACGGACGTTGTTTGATCCTTGCAAGCTCGGAATGATGCGGAGATTGCCGTCACTCACCAAGATGTGGCCCGCAACCGACGGGCGCTTCCTGTCTCTTGCCATCATCACTGGGACAGGATACCGAGGTGGATTCATTCATAGACCACGAAGTACTGTACCAGATTACACATCTCACTCAGATCGAACGTTCGCTTGATCTCATGACCGATCCCGCTCACCAGGTGAGCCCAACGCCTCCTCACGCCATTATCATCTTTGACTAAAGCCGCGAGCAGACCCTGGCCATGGCCCGCGACACCTCTAGTATTGACGATCTTCCTGTCGAAACTCTCACTCATGTCCTACTACACTTACGAGACGTCGACCCGCCTCAGGCGGCGCGAGAAGCATCGACCAAAGGCCCCGCGTTAGAGAGGAAACTCGGCTGGGTCAATGCCACTCACGTCTCGAGGTACTGGCGAGATACCACCCTATCGAATCCGTTGTTTTGGACTCGAGTTCCTTTCAACATTGGTCAAGATTGGGCGAGCACCTTCGTACAACGTTGCCTCTCTCTGCCCCTTGACATCTCCTTGGATCTTGATAGCTATGGGCTTGCCACGTGGATAGAAGCGCTCTTGGTGGACAATTTTCACCGCACGCGCACTCTCAAAGTCGGGTTCTGGAACGGCTCGCGTCGCATAGAGGATCCCATCTACGCCCTGCTCGAGCGGCCCTCCACGATCCTTGAGACCCTTAGTCTCGATAGAACATGGCGTCAGATTGAGCCTCCTCGACTGCGATCGGCCCAGTACCCGCAACTTCGCTCGCTTAATCTCATCCTCGATACCCTGTACGCAGAGGACTTCCCCTGGCGTGACCTGGGGACCCCTAAGATTACAGATCTTTCGATCAAAGTCGGGAAACCGACTCATATCACTCGTATCCTCCCCGACATCATGTCTTGTTTACAAGGACTACAAGCGTTGATATCATTAAAGTTGGATTTTGCCGGTCCGAGATACGGCCATCCCGCTATTCCTGAACTCGTTGACGACGGGACCGATCACAGTCTTGTCCCGTCCGTTTTCTTGCCAGTACTTGAAAATTTCACTCTGAGAGCTGACGCGGGAGCGGCCGTCATCATGCTGCAACATATCTCATCTCCGACTACGACACTCCTGACGCTCTTTTCGCACGGTCCTCTCAAAAGGGAACCTTTCGCATCACTTCTGCGACCAGTAATATCCGCTCAGTCGGAGCGCAATCCCTTCAGACACCTCAGTTTCTACGATAATGACGACGAAGATCATACCATGCACATCGCTGCTGCGTCCTCGACACCCAAGTTGCCTCTTTCTCACCGCAATGCTGGACAGAATACTCGGTTGTATCTAGATTTCAGTGAAACGGTAGACTTCTTCCCGGACATTCTTTCAGTACTCGGATCGGAGATGATGTATCATGTTGAGATCCATTGCACACTTGAGCGTTCGCTGACGAGCGATACTCTACTTCCCTGCATCCCGGTGCAGTTTCGGAACGTCACTTGTCTTTCTTTCGCGATGCCCAAAGGACAAAGCAATCCCAGAATCACTCCAAATGGAATCATTGTCGCGACGATGCGCAGATCGCTTCTGCCCACAGCAGACGCATCCTACCCTCCCTTCCCGAAACTCGCTGCGTTGGATCTCTCTTTCGCTGGACCAGGAGTACTCATGGCGCGCTGCATGCATCCAGAAGACGCGAAGCCGAAGAGACTGACCATGCCGCCAACGTTTGCGCAGGCTATCGCAGACATCATGACGGCGAGGCGGGATGCTGGCTTCCGCGTGCCCCAGGTTTATGTCCCCGAATGGACAAAGAGAGGAACAACTTTCGAAGAGACTGTGTACGAAGTCATTTGCTCCATACCTGAGGTGGTGTTTATGCCCAATGGAGCGCACATCGTGGTTGACGAAACGTCGGGCGAGGTCAGGATGGAGTAGAGCGGCATGCGCGATTGGAGAAGCCATGGAGAGTGGAAGACTTGTGCATGAGGCTGCTTCTGGTGACGTAGTTGGTTGCAATGAATTAGAGCTGTAGGCTACATGTACGCTGAATGAAGAGCTTATCTACTCCGTCCATCAACTACGCACGTATACATGTATGCCGTGTGCGATTCAGAAGTACCAGTACGAAGTCAGCGGTCGTCGAATTTTCTCTTTAGCGGCTCTGAGTACTGAGTCGGTTGCCGCCTTCGCGCTCAGAGGATCAGTGCGCTTTCGCTACTGGGCGGTCGCGCCTTGGTCGTGCATCCGCACGTCGCAGCACTCGATGACGGTGCGCCCAAGGTGCGCCTGACCAGAGCGCAGTGAGAACATCCCCGTCGCCGCGCGCACGCCAGTCCGGCGATCACGCGCCACGCGAGTTCCGACTTCCCATCTACCACCACCATGTTCTTGACCAACACAGCTCAGGAGGTGTCAGGACCTCCCTTCCGCCAACATTCATGCTCGGTTTCAGGCGCGAAGGGCGCTACTATTGCCGTCGGAGGTGGATCCACCCGCTGCTCTCGTCACGCTCACCGAGCCGACGCGGTTCGGGATATCTCTCTGAGTAGTATGAGCGTCCGCCCGGACTTAACCCTCCGTGTCCTGTAGTCAATGTTGGGTATATCGATATCTGCGGCTTGTAAGGAGCCATGGACCGGTATAAAAGGAAAATCACTTCCCCAATCGCCGCCACAACCGACACGCCCTCTGCATTTCGACCATGTCTGGCTTCAAGAATTTCGCTCTGGTAGGCGCCGGAAACATCGGCGGACCACTCGCAGAAGAGCTCCTCAATGCAAGGTCGGCTGGTACAGTCGACAAGGTCGTTGTACTTGTGCGTCCGGTCAGTACACCATCATACATCGTTGTCTGATCCAGTTCTTACCAGACTCCCGTAGGCATCCGCGTCGAAGCTCGAGGCCCTGCGCGCTCGAGGCGCCTCGATCATCCCAATTGCCGACTACTCTAGCGCCTCTGAGGTGTCCAAAGCACTGGCCGACATCGACGTCGTCGTGACCTCGCTCGCGGACCCCGTACTGCATTTGCAGATCCCCATCGCGGAAGCAGCTAAGGCTGCCGGTGTGAAGCTCTTCGTGCCAACCGAGTTCGGCATGCCCTCAGATGAAGTGGTTGACAGTGTTCATGTCGCCAAGGTTGAGATCAACAAGAAGATCCGCGACGTGGTCGGCCTTCCTACCGCGCTCTTCTACACTGGCAACTTCGCGGATTGGCTTTGGAAGCCCTATATCACCTTGGATGTTAAGAGTGGCAGCGTTGGAGTGGGAGGCGATGGAAACGCTCAGATGTCTTTCACATCGACGATTGACATCGGACGCTTCCTTGTATACGTCCTCACGACGCTACCGCCTGCCGAAACGAAGAACAGGACATTCCGTATCGAGGCTGAGCGGGCGGTGAGACACCTTCATTCCTGTCCGTCTCTCCATCGCTGAATGTCGCTGTAGTCCTTCAATGACATCTTTTCTGCGTACGAGAAGAAGTACAGTGTTAAGCTTCAAGTGTCGTATACGCCTATCGAGGAGCTGGAGGAGAGACTGAGGAAGGATCCAAATGACGTCGTGAGTATCTGTCACCTTGGATGGGCGACAGGCAAGGGGACCGTCGGCTCTCCTCTCGACAATGAGTCATTCCCCAACTGGAACCCGAAGGCAGTAATGTACTATCTATGATCTATGTACAATAAACGAGCAGGATTCAAATGTCTACATGCACCAGATGTTGTTCGGCGTCTCCGTCGGCACGCGGCACGCGGACCGGAATCGCTCACGCTTTTCGTGTATTGCTCGTGATTCTAACTGCGCGCTGCATTCCATTGGCTCCACATGCGAGTCGCCCTCTCTAAACGGCCAAAGTCAAGCAACACATCAAGTCTTTCACTGGTCGCTGACATCCGGATCCTGCGCCACCGCTTACCGGTGAGCTGTGCCGTATCCTTATACGGGTCGCTGTCTCCCCATGCTGTGTCAGTCACAGCCTCCTTAATTGCGCTTGATAGGAAAGCCAGGGACGACCACGTCTGCGAAGTCTGATCGACAGTTCAAACATACAAATGTGCCCTTGTTCACTCTCAGGCGAACCGTCCACCTCTGACCCCGAAGTACAAACCATATCGCATGTCTTCACGCGTTTCTACGACTGGGGTACCCGGGCGCTTTCGTGCGCATCCTCGAGTTCTCGTGATGACCTACCCTTGACTGATGACTTTTTTGTTGCCAGATATTGACAATAGGCTACGAGACGGCGCGAAAGGCGTACTTGGGACGGCAATCGAGGCTCTCAGTGTTGCAGCGACTACGACGCAAAATGTGCCTTATATCGCGACCTTATCCAGTATTATCACCGAGATCCTGAAGATCTATCAAGTGCGTGCTTGCACTGCATCCACAACACACTTTCATGCGACTTCACCCTTGTTTAGGAGGTTGATGTCTACAGATCGGACTGGAAGGCCGTCGCGGACATGGCAGATCAGCTCAAGTCCATCATCGACGATGTGCATGACAGATGTGCGGATATAGCTGATGGCCGCGACTCCGTGCTTCCTGAGGGCATATCCAAGCCATTCATCGCTCTTGAGACGTACGTTTCTCTCATCCTACTCTTGCTTCAACAGACCGTGACATACAACAACAGTTGCCTAGCGGATGTCTTGGGAGCTCTCAATGCCTGCATGCCTTCCACGACTAGCAATGCGAAGACAGTTGGACTCGCGAAGAAGATGAAGGGTCTGGGGCGGGACATTCTGAATCGGCGCGAACTCTCGAACCAGGTCAAGCAGTGCCGCGAGGAGATGCAGAGGACACTGGACCTATTCAATGTGCCTTCTGTCTTCCTTGTTGGGTTATTTGCGTGTATGCTGAAAGACATTCAATCACAGACAAAATTACAAATTGACCAGTCACTCACGATGCTCAAGCTGATTGTCCTGATAGAGAACTGGGGGAAACAGATGGTACGCTTTCGAAGCTTGTCAAAGCACCCTTATGCTGACTGCCTGCGTCAGCCTCGTAGCATGGCTATACCGTGCGTGACTTGCTATGCTGCGATATCTGATCGCTTTACTGATCAGGTCACCCAGAGCTTCCGTTTCTCTTCCGAACTTTCCCGGTATCTTCCACGGCCGTGCCCTCGAAGTCAATCATATCATCGACCTGTTGCTTAACAAGACTCCGGCTCGGGTGGCCATCCTTGGATCTGGCGGGATTGGAAAGACGTCCATTGCACAAGCTGTGCTGCATCACCATGACATCGTGAAGGTCTACTCTGAGCGAAGATACTTTCTATCTTGCGAGGCTTACACAACCGCGGAAAGCATTGCGCGAGGACTATTATCCATCTTCCAGCTTGCCGCTGATACGAGTGATGTCTCACCTCGAGACTTAGTCATCTCGCACTTGTGTGCCCTCCCTGACAGTCTCCTATGTCTGGACAATCTCGAGACACCTTGGGATTCTGACGTTCAAGGAGTCGAGTCGCTCCTGGGGCATATCGCATCCTTGCGCGGCATCGCGCTCATCGTAACCAGTCGCGGCGGAGATCGTCCTGCGGGGGTTGCCTGGACGCGACCCTTTCTACCGCAGATCATACCGCTCTCCATCGTGGCGGCCCTGGACACATGGGACGACATATGCGGCTCTCACGACGAGTACTCTGAGAAACTTGTTCAAGCCGTCGATTGTGTCCCCCTAGCCGTCACGCTTCTTGCGAACCTCGCGCAGAGCGAAAGCGCGGAGGCACTGTGGATGCGGTGGGGGCACGAGCAGACCGTGCTTCTGCGCGGGCGCGGGTCGGAGAATCGTTTAAACAGTGTTGAAGCGTCCATCCGCCTGTCGCTTCAAGGACCACGCCTCGCCGAAGACCCTGCGGCCGCGGATCTGCTCAGCGTCCTATGCACTTTGCCTCAAGGAATGCCGATATCGCGCACCATGGCCTTTGTCAATGCTTTCAGCGAGGGGCTACCCAACCTTATGCTTTCTTCGACTTCATTGAAGCAGAGCGCTCTCGCCTACACCTCTGACGATGGTTATCTTCGAGTGCTTTCTCCCATTCGTCACTACATGCTATCCCATCATCCGCCTTCAAACTCTCTCCTCTCTTCTCTAGTCTATGTTTACAGTGACCTTCTCGAGGGCGGCGAGTTCCCGAACAGATTCGGCTCCCAGGTCCAGTATGTGAGGACATACATCAGACCAGAGCTTGGGAACATATCAGCCGTCTTGAAATTGTGGCTCGCCAACGATACCGTCGCGTCGGATCGCATGTTGCGAGCGATCAACGCGTTCGCTGCGCTATGTCATGTCATATCCATCTATGATACGCCTGAGCCTCTGCTTACTGAGGCTATCAAACGCGTCGGCACGGATATCACACCAATCGCGGCCCGGCTGTGGTACACGAAGGGCCAGTGCCTATACTTTCAGGACCACGAAAGCGAGGCTTTGTCTGCATTATCCACAGCGCACATGATGTACTCGTCTCTTGGACGCAAACGCGACGAGGCTGAATGCGCACAGACCATGGGAGACATACATCAACGTCTCGGGAGAGGCGACGAGGCTGAGCGCCTGCTGGGGTCTGCTCTCGACCTGTATCAGTCTCTCGATGACTGCCGAGGTCAGATTGAGACTTTGCTAAGCATGAGCAATGTCCAGAAATGGCGTGGACAGCATGGAGATATGGAGCGTACTCTCGAGCGCGCGCTGGATCTCGCACGCGAGATCGAGGATCATTTACTCCAGGCGCATCTGACGCGAAGCTTGGGTGACCTGTACGCACAGGTGCATATCCAACGGTACGAGGAGGCGGAGCAACGATTGCGATCCGCGGAGGCCTTGTATCAGGACGTTGGCGACCGCCTCGGCGAGGCCCATGCGTTGAAGGCGCTCGGTTCGCTTTGTGAAAGGCTGAACCGGCTTCCCGAGGCAGAGTCCGCCTTAAAGTCCGCTCTCGAGATATACCAGGAGATCAAGAACGTATCGGGTGAAGCCAACACGCGCGTAACTCTCGGTATGGCCTACAGGAAAACTAACCGGCTTGAAGAAGCTTGCGCTACACTTCTCGTCGCCCACGATCTAGGTATTCGTATCTCGGATCTCGTGCTGCAAGGAAACGCGATGAGTTACTTAGGCATCGCTTACGTGTCGATGGCCGAGTTGGACAAGGCCGAGGAATGTTTTGAGAAGGCATTACAAGTGTATACGCAGGGGAATCACACAGTTAATAGTGGGCAGGCTCAGATCTACCTTGATATCGTGCGACGGGAGAAGCAATCCCAATCATCTTGATCAGCTCTCACCGATATAGTCGCCCACCAAGGGTGTTTCTATAGCAGACTTATCCTTTGTGAACAATTGATGCGGGTCATTACAATGTACAGTACAGCGAGAGGATGATCTACGAAGCATACACGCAGTGATGTAGCGAATAGACCATCGTACTTCGAGTTTCCACTTCTTCTCTTTCCATCCCCTCCTCTTTCGGCTACCATCCAACTCCCACCGCAGCACAGCACAACATCAGCAGCCAACAATATACGAATCAGAAACAGGCACGTCCGAAGTCAATGTTCTCCAGGAACCAAGGTGGGGGAGTAGATAAGAACGAAAAAGTAAAACGAGCCGAAGTTGGAACGGGATTTTGTCCTTTGGTTCCAAGCCGTCTGTCTATAAATGGGTCAACGGGTCGACGCAGATGATACCGTCGCGCTCGCTCCAGGGGTAACCCCAGCGGTGCAACCACTCCTTCACGCCAGCTGCAAGGCGGACGCGGCTCGAGCCGCGCGCGGCACTCTGTACGCTTTGGTGTTTCTCCTCGCCGACGACGAGGTACACTATACGAATGAATCAGACACCGGACGCAAAGACGGAAGAGAGAAGGAAGGGAATATACCAAGACCGTAGAAGTGCTCACGCTCAAGCGTAAGCAGACACTCCTCCAGCGCCTCAACAGCCTCGTTCGAATGCAACGCATGCAAGTCGACAGCAGCCTCCGTACGCTCTTCAGGGCTCAGAGCACTCTTGTCGCCGCTTGCGACGTCGGAACGCGCGATGCCGAGGATGACGCCAAGTCCGGCACCGCACGCGCTCCCACGCACACGACTGTCACCGGGGTCGTCGCTCCAGCTGATGTCCCGAGAGCGACAAGCGTGCTGCATAGCCCGTGCGCGCTCGCGAATGAGGCGCGCGGCAGCTTGCGCCATCTCCCCAGCCATCTTCGCGTTCAGCTCGTGTCCCTCGCGCGAGAAACGTTTCGCTGCGCCGCCGTCTCCACGTCGCCAGGCGTCCGCTGCACGGCTGAGACATGCGTTACGTGCTGCGCCTAGCTGAAGGGCGCGGGAACGGTATTGCATGTATAATGTGTTGACCTCGGAGCCGGTTACTAGTGTCGGCAGCAGAGTCGGAGGGCGGAGTTTGAGGCGCGGCGAGGGTTTGGGCGCTATGATGGCTGTGCGATGGTGTAACGAGTCCGCGGCGCTGCCCATGGCTTCGCGTCGCGCGGCCAGCGTTGCTTCGTCCCGAGGAGGGGTGGGCGGCATGGGTGCGTTCGGCTTCTTGACAGCCGCGGCGAAACGAGTGCGTCCTGGGTCATTCGGTGCAGCTCCCCTTCCGGCCGAGCCGAGCGAGGGGAACTCTTCAAGACCTGGCGAACGGCGACCATTGTCGTTGGCGTTGTTGCGCAGGTTGATCTGACCGAATTGGTTCGTTACAGCTGAGACATCCACGTTCTCAGGAAGGTGGTGTAAGAACTCGCAGGCTTCGCCTTTGGCGCAGGTTCCCCGCAACCAGAAGCGACACAGAGCACGCTCCAAATCGTGACTATGCACGACATGTGAGTAGGTGTCTCCGGTGAGGCGCATGCATCTGGCTTACCTGAAGCGGCAGTCTGCTCGTAGACACTCGCCAGCGAGGAAGTAACGACAGACGCGGTTGCCTCCTGGCACGGGTCTACCGTTGACGAAACGTGTGTTGCCCCTCTGTCCAGGCGGAAATCCGCCTGATCTACCGCCGCGCACGAATCCAGCAGCGCCAGGTCCATCCCGCGAGATCACGGCGACATTTCGACCGCCGATTTGCGTCGTGCGTGAAGGAGCAGGACCCGGGGACTGTTGAGGAGGCGCCATACGGTCGATGAGCCATGCCATAGAACGGTCGAAGTCGTAACCGTTGTTCGCGAGCGCGTCCTCGAGCTCACTTGGTGCAAGACTGGCACCGAAAACGGAACTGAGTACATCGAAGGGCGTCATTCCGTCCGTGAGCAAATCCTGCCCGTCGTCCTCGAGGCTGTCTTGGGATGGCTCGGAAGACATGAGCGGAGACGAGAATGCGTTCAAGTTGAGCCCTTGTCCGGTTCCGTCGTAATTCTCGTATCCCTGATGAGGTGGGCCATGAGTTTCCCAACCCGAAGGCTCGTAATCGGACGCGAGGATGGAGGGGAAGACTGGCACGTCCTTGGCGAAGGGGTCGAATGGATCGTTGTCGTCTTCCAATTCATCAGGGCGCATGGACGCGCGGAGAGAACTCGGGGTGCCCGAACGTGAGAGCAGGGACGAGTCTGGAATGAGAGGCGCGGCGATGGCGAGGTTTGATGGACCGCGCGATGTACCATGAGACCACAGATCAGGCGAATCGGCGCGGATGTATGAGCCCGGATTAGAAGACGCGGCCGAAAGGGGACGGGGATGGGGTCTGAACTCGTTCGCCTTTGCATTCAGCAATCTAGGCGAGGACAGAGGCGACGCGGGAAGACTAGCGCCCGCAAAGTAATTCGGGACGGAATAGGAAAGAGTGGGCGATGCCTGGGGAGAGTCGCCCGAGGGATGGAGATTGCCAATGTACGAGTTCTGGCCGACGCCCGTGCTCAGCGGCGACGCGAGCGGCGTGTGCGGGCGCCTGAATACGTATGCAAGCGGCGAGCTGGGTGCGCTGCTCAGCGTCGGCGTCTCTGGTCTCCTGCCCGACGCACGTGAGGACGGGCGCGAGATCGGGCGGCGACTACTGGAGAGTAACAGGAAGGGTACGCCGGCGAGATCGTCGCGGTGCTTGTGCATCAGCTCGAGCATGTACTGCTCCAGCTAGACAATAGAGTTAGTCGGGACCCTGCACTGCGTCTTCCTTTCAACTCACAACGTCATCTTCGAGGCTGGGATAGTGTTCTTTAAGCAATCCCTTGAGCTCTTCTTCGTGCTCCTCGTCCAGCATCCCGACGACGCGGCTCACAAATCCACTCGGGACTTGACCGTCGCCTTCGCCTTCAGAGTCGTAGCCGTTCCCTGAGGCCCGATGCTGCCGGGCCATTGCACTCAGCAGCGCCCGCACATGTGGGAAGCGCGGCACAGCGTCGTTGAACACCTCGCTGCCGGCCTCGGACGTCGTCCGCGCGAGCGACACCATCCTGGCGGGTTACTCTAGTTCAATGCGCAGTCCGACTGCCGTCGCGCCGTCGTCGTGGTTGTTGTAAGCAAAGTAAGCAAGGTAACAAGCAACGCCCATGATGGGCGAACCCACGTTCCCCAGACACGTCGGCTAACTCCGGCCCGCCTTCTCGGTGCCCCTGTCCCATTTGCAGCGTTTACGGACGATAGACAACAGAGCTCTAGCGCGTCTCTTGTACAACATGTATTCATACGGCCGACTGAAACTGCCCTAACTAGTCGACAAAGGCATTCACGGCTCGCGAATTGCGGAACTATTATGACCTCATACGGAGACGCGATCACCTGAGTAAAGACGGAAGGCTCTGTAGACCTACTCGGAATGTACAAGCACAGATCTTAAGGAAGGCGTCACAAGACTGTCATAGAAAGTACATGAAGAAATGAGCCAAAAGTATACGACAGAGAAGTAGGGATGCTCTGAGGCTTCGGCGCCGACGTGAAGTCGCGAGCGCGGAGCGCACAGCCAGAGCCACCTGGATGCCGCAGCAACCATCTGGACTCGCAGATAGTGCGGAGTCTTCTGTGACTGAGAGAAAGAGGCCTCAAATAGGGAGTGAGATATGGTGTGGTGTGGATGTTGGCTGAGTGGATTGGCAGAATATAGTACGTGTATGAAAACATCGCGATCTATCACGACGACAGAGATGTCTTTGGCGGGAGTATCTCAGTCTTGAGTACGCGGTTGACCTTGCTCTTCGGTACTGGAGCTACATTGATATTGACATGAGGGTCACTGCCGCAACATAAAGACATACCATTCGTGTTCTCCGTGATGTAGAAACGTCGTAAAGCCATGATCGCTTCTTCTCGCAGCAATCCACCCGTCGCAGGGAGTGAAGACAGTTTCGGGTGAGGTACACTGCTTCTCTTATTCAGCTTCCAGCTATAATTCACATTCAACGGGTAGGCCTACGCAGAGTGAACTCCCAGCACACTGCCGCAACCGCCAAAGCGCTCATTCTCGGCCCCGAAGAAGCACCGTTCGAGTCCTGCCTGCCTAAGGGCACTCGCGCACATCACACACGGGTCTACGGTGACATACAATGTTGTTCTTGACAACGGTCGTAATCGTGCTGTGGGATCCGGTGCCGTTGGAGTCGGATCGGCTAAGATGGCGTCAACAGCTTCGAGCTCGGCGTGTCGCGTTACCTGCAAAGAGCGTCAGAACGCTTTAGGATATCTCGCGAGTGTTGCAAAGAGAAAAGAACTATACTTCATTTGTACGGTTACGAGCGCGTGCGATGATGATTCCGTCTCGCACAAATACACATCCTACGGGCACTTCGTGGGCGTCGAAAGCTTCTTCTGCCTACTGGTGACGCTCCGAGGCCGAACGAGAAGACGCGCAGAGAGTGATGCCGGACTTGGTCTGGGGCTGCACGCATCCAGGAGAGATGGACGACCAGATCGTCATCCGTGGTTGTAGCAGCCGCGGAGGATACCGTTGTAGACAGAATCGCGTCGCGAGAAGAAGTGTCTTCTATATCCGACATCCTTCCAAGGCACTAGCGAGGCTTAGACCACACAGTGAGGCTCAGAGAGTGAGCATCTATATCGTGATAGCCTATGTCAGTTTCGCGAGGCCGAGCGCCTGCACCGGTTGGTTGATGGTGGTCGGGGTGGAATTGGCGATGGCGGCGAAGAGCACTGAATGCGCGCCGGCGCGGCAACTGCCGAAGCCTTCCCGAACAACGTTCATCATACAATTGCACAGTATAATATGCGATAGGCAGAAAGACGGAAGTCACAACGCAATTGCGATACATATATGCCACGTGGCGATCTGAAATGGCAAAAAATACGATGGGAAGGAAAGGAGGGGTGGGAAAAGCGGCGCATACATCTACCCCGGGAGAGCACAACGGAGTATTGGAGACGTAGTGGCCTGCTACAACCCCTCACCGCGATGCCCCCAGCTTTTTGTGCTACCGCCTTACACGGAGGAATCGAGGAAAATATGGGAGGGGAAGACTCTAACAGAAAGCCGAAGAGGATAGCACTCTTTGCGTAGCGTCATACATTTGGCTAGTTATCCCATTGGACCAGCACAACCTCCTCCGTCCACCCAGTCTTCTCCTTACAGCAGTCCTTTTCGCATGAGAAGACCATAGCAGTTCCCCATTCCATTCCTCGCACGTCCTCAGCACCGCCCTTGAGCAATTTCTCTACTGCACGCCGACGCTCTTCTTCTGTCTGTTCCTTCTCCTGCTCAGCGCCAGCCCCCGTCTTGTCCCTCACAATATTTATCAAATTGGGCATTAGCTGACACTCGAACACGCGTCGACCACCACACGAGGAGCAGGCGGGAACAGAGGCCAAGTCATAGCTTCGTCGCTCGTCATCTACGCCGGCGGCGAATGCGGCGCCGGTGACTTGGACCACTCCAGTCTTCTGCCCCGACGCAGGGAAAAGCTTCTTGAATACGTCGTCGGTCGCGAACGGCAGCGGGGTCCCACCGAGTTCGTATCTGGGGCAAGCTCAATTAGTACGCGGTTCCAGTATCTGGGACTATCACGCACCGGACACATTGCTCCGCCTCAGCGGCGACTCGGGCATTGAACCTATCGAAGACGCGATCTGTGTCAAGCGAGTTCTCGTATTTTTCCGCCGTCCATGTACCCTTGGCGTCTTGTTCATCAGCGAGCGCGTCTTCATTTGCTTTGGCAGCTTTCTTCTCCTTCGGTGGCGTAATGTATTCAGACATTGTCGATAGGTATTGCGGTGCGTATGCAGGCGCGTCTGTCCAGGGAGAGTCGTCGAGCGTTGTGGAAGCTAGCGCTACGACGAGTGAAGACGCGGATGATGTAGACTCAGCGTCTGATGCGGCTCCGTCGTCTTCGACCAGCTCATTAGGCGTAGCGTCGACGGGCGCAGATGCTGGCACAGACTCTTCTGGTGCGTCACCGAAGAGTTGCGCGCCTAGCCCACCACCAAATGGGCTCGACGCCGCTGCAGCTCCTCCCATCTGCGACACGAGGCTGATCAATCACTGCCTATCAAGCCACTTGTAGCTATACGCACAGCAAAGGGGTTCGTCTTGCTTTTGGGTTCAAGTGGTGGTGCAGGAGCCGGTGTTCGAGCTTTCTTCTTTCTTGCAAGCTTGGCCGCGTATTCTTCATTCAAGCGTAGCCCACGCCATGCGCGTACGGCGCCTTCACGACGTTGGCATGCGCCGCGCGCACATCCCCAGACGTATAACGCGCGATCGTAGGCGCTGTCCTCAAAAGGACACCACATTTGAACCAGTAGCTCCATTGGATGATTGCAGTTCTTACACGAGCTGCTCGTGAAGGGGATATCGGGCGACAGGAAGGCCTGGAGCGTATGAAAATATGCAATTGGAGGAGGATGTTATTACAAAGCTACTCGACGTATGTGGGGAGATGCGCCGCACAGGTTTGCCGCCTATGCGGGATACCGCAGCGTCGAGCAGCTCGGACGACGCGGTATTGTCAATGGGTCCATCTGGTACGCCGAGTAGGACGGACGTCTCGACCTCGGAGAGCACCTCATCGTCCGAATCCGACCAATCGTCGTTGTCAATTGATGGCATTCAAATACAGTTACACTCTGTGATAGAAATGTCAGTCAGCGAATGATGATGGGAGAGAGAATTGAGGGGATCAGAAATGCATGAATGGTATTAAAGAAAGACTCGTCAACGCAGTCCCCGACGAAAACTCGTAAGGGCCCGCTCAGACTCGTCATCTGGAGGATCATCACATGATAGGGACCGAGATAGACACTCACAGGCTACAAGAGGGATGTGAGTACAGGAAGATGGTCGGAGGAGGAGATGAAGAAGAGAATGGGCGCGACGCGTTGGAAAAATGACTGGCCCGGCCCGAGTACCGGACTCTCACGGCTCATTCGCGGTCTTCTACATATACTTGATGGATGAGTATTCTTGACTTCCAGCCAGTAGCAAGCATGAGATGTACTGTTTGCTGCTTCCGCGCACACGCGTACTCTCTCCCTTCGCGCAGGGTGGTGAAGGTCCTCCCGCGAGAATCACCAGCTTTGAACAGTGTGGCACGTGTGCGCGTCATTGGTTGATGGCGACAGGCGAACATGTCGGCTTCGGGCGCTTCGCGACTCTTCTCTCGCGCTTGCCACCACTCCTCCACGGCCTTTTCGAATTCTCACCCTCTCTCTCTCGCTCCTTACCGATAATGCCACTGTGCGGCAGCTCATCTAGCAATGGTGGCGCGGGCTTCAGCCGCGGGCGGCCAGTGCGTGCCTGGTCTGCTGAAACGCCCTGGGCGCTTGGGATCGCGGGCTGACTTGGCCTTGGGCGGGCGTTTAGATACAGCGCAAGGTCGTAGTCTGCGGAGACGGTGCATGCGGTGCGTAAAGTATTCAACTTGTCCGGTATGATTCATGCTTACGGTGGTACAGGCAAGACGTCTCTACTAAACGTCTTCACGCGTGGATTCTTCACACAAGTCTAGTGCGTATTGTATCGAGGACACACATGTTCCTGATCCTGATTATGGACACAGTGAACCGACAGTCTTTGAGAACTACGTGCACGACATCTATGTCGACGAGCAGCAGGTCGAACTCAGCCTGTGGGACACAGCCGGTTCGTGTGGGCGTCCTCATGCCTGCCTCGCCTTTTCTCGGAGTGCTGGGTCTGACCACCGAGTGCAGGCCAGGAAGAGTTTGACAGACTAAGATCGCTCAGCTACGCGGAAACGAATGTTATCATGATATGTTTTTCGGTGGGTCTACCAGGTTTCGCAGGTTGATCGGCTCTCTGAGATACTACCTATAGGTCGATAATCCCGTCTCGCTGGAGAACGTAGAATCGAAGGTATATTGCGTATCCTACATTGTCTGCTGGCAATGTTTCACACGAGCCTCACAGTGGATTGACGAGATCTTGGAGTACTGCCCAGGAGTCAAGGTGCGAGAATGTCGTTGCGTTAATCAATCCATGCTGACTAACAGCCTTCGGTGCCTCTAGTTGGTTCTCGTCGGTGCGTTCTCACAGATGTCGATGGCTGCTCGCTCTTTTTCAATCACGTTGCAGCGCTGAAATGCGATCTACGCGACGATCCCGCGGTTTTGGAACGCTTGGCGCGGTACGGTCGAGGGACTGTGCAATATGAGGAGGGTCTGGCTTGTGCAAGACGAATACGCGCTTCCCGTTATCTTGGTATGTCTGCGTTCGCAGATCGCTCACGGAGATGTGCTCACAATGCTCAGAGTGCAGCGCCAAACACAACCGTGGAGTCTCGGAGGTCTTCTACGAGGCGGCACGAGTATCGCTTGCAACGCGGGGAAAGGACTCAGGTGGCGGCTGCACAATCATGTGAAGCTATGAGCCTTTCGGTGCTCCCTCGCGTATTCGTCTCGTCACCCTCCACGTCCTCGACGGACTTTGACTACTTCGATATTGCTATCGCATTCGTTTTTGCTTCATCTCTGCTTTGCCTCTGACTTTGCCTGGGACTTCGCACGTCTTACCCATGTATAGCTAGCGATACCTTATCTATCGCATACCCCGCCGCCCGATGGTTCTGGCGTTTCCGCACTCTCTGTATCATTGACTTTAGGCCTAATACAATCCTGAAAGTAGTCGCTAGCCCCTCATCTTGGGCGGAAATTGTATGCAGAGAGTCCTCAACAGGATGAAGGAGGTATAGATGCTACGTCCACGTCGTTTCGCATGGCAATCCCTTCGCGAAGTTGGAAACGATCCTGAGCTTGTCCTCCGGGCCGCGCCATTCGTCTCGACAGGATCCCACCGACGACCTCGCTGAGGATGTGAGGCAGCTCGCTTTCCGTAACGGCTAGACAAGGGGGTTTGCGCAATTGCCAGGTGAGGAAAGGCAGGTCCAACGTCTCGAGCGACGGAAAAGGGCGTTCGGGTGTGGGGATCTTGGGGTCACCCAGAAGTAGGTCGGAAAGCTGATATCTAAACTTCACTGCGCTAGCCCTTTGCTGAGCATTCAAGCGATCAGATGCGATGCGATGCGAATGTAGGAGATGGATGTGAGTAGGTTCCTCATTTACTTGGGAGTGGGACCATTACTTGTGATGTGCGTATTCGGCACATCGAAGAGTTGATGGAAGCCGCTGCGAGAGCTCAGAGAAGCCGGTGTCTAAACGCCGGGCCGATCTTCATGAAGAAGTGCAAGCGCATATCTACCCGTATCTCGAAGGAGCGATCTCAAGATGCTATAAACTGAAAGTACCGAATGCCACCCATGATCCAATCACCGGTCCGCATCGGGATAGGCGCCGTCGAAAGAAAGGCGCTGTCTATCCGTAAGTCACGTTACAGTAGTTTGACTGCTTTATTCGCCGCGACTGACGATAGCGCGGGATCGATGTCGCGCAGATGCAGAAGTACAAGACGCAGAATTTCATTATGAAGTGAATGGATTGATGCCATACACGGAGTGCGGTACTAGGCTGCTCACGTCAGTAAGAACCAGGTAGTGATGGTTGGGTGCAAGCCTTCCACCGTTCCACGATGCTTGACACGAACCGGCCCGACTTGCCGACTTATTGGCGTGGCTCACCTGATGGCTCAACTTGAACCTGTACTTCATTCTTCGAACGCGTCTCTGACTCTGGCCTCTCCGGCCATCTGCGCGTGTACAGAATGGACGCGCCCGACTCGCGCACGCGGAGGAAGATTGCGCTAAACTCGAGAACAGTCCTGTCTCCTTCGTGCGTAGTCTGAAACGTGGGGTCATTATAGGTGCTTATAATCAATCCAGCGCGTCTGCCCGTGTATTCTCCGAGGTCGTACTTCCAGGTCTCGTACTGGTAGCTTCCCTCTGGACCGCAAAGGACTGGCTGCTATCACGCGATGTGCCAAAGTCATGGGTGCTTATGCGTACGCTGGCATGTAGCGCGCTCGTCCATTTGGCGCGAGAGGCCTGGGCAGGAAATACGGTCAAGATCGCCCACTCGGTAAACTTGTCTATGGTGCGTGGCACGTGCGTGCTTGATGCGTCAGATTGATCAGCTGAATATACCATAGTTGCCTGCTTTCGGAATACTGTCCGTATCATTCCTCCTGCAACAGACCTGCCTTCTCGTCGCTCTTTCCCACTCCTCCAGCACTCGGTCAGTAGCCTGATTTATCTCAACCAAGTATCCCACCACTCACGCTCATATCAGTGTTGCCGCATATGTTCTCTTCTCGCTAGCGTGCGCGAAAGCGTTCTCGAACTCATCAATGGTGCGCAATCACCCATCTGCCATCGAACTCGGCTGAATAGATATTCTGTATAGTTCCCTCGCGCCATACCCGTCTTCGTTGGACTAGCGTGGTCCTTTGCCTCGGATGCTAGCTACTCAGTGAACACCGTTCGCGATGCTCTTCCAGGATATCTTGCCTTAGCGGTTCATGTGCCGCTCACTTGCTCAGTGGAGTACTTCCACGCCCAGCTCTCGATAAAACTCGGACCAGCTACGGCATCTGCAGCTGGTACTCTGGGTGCCAGTCTGATGGCGGTGGTTGCTTACGCTGCACGAGAGGCATCAGTAAGTGGACTGCAGTCCCTGGCGCCACTCGACTGAACAACTCTCGCAGTACACATTCAAGCCGCATTCCACTGTTGTCCCCTTGACCCACCTTCTTGCCATCCCGCTTCTGGCTTATACGGCTCAGCCTTCATCGTCAACTTTGCAGTTGTCGACCAATTTGACGCCACAAATATACACGCTAACCGGCACTCTGGTCGTCGGCGCGTCGCTCGTTCTGAATGCAGTCTTTGGCGATGCGAAGCCCTCCTGGATAGACCTAACTATGCCGATTCTGGTCCTGTACGGTATGTCATATCACAGGTATGAGCAGGCCAGACGCTGATGCACCAACCAGGAGGTCTTCCTGCAAAGTCCAAGTCAGACAGCGGCGTGCCAGAAACGCCGTTATCGCTAGTTCTGCGCTCACACTTGAAGACAATTATGGACAACGCGGAGTCGCGCAAGATCTTTTACTTCCTCATGCTGAACATTTCATTCATGTTCGTTCAAATGCTTTACGGTATCTGGACAAATAGCCTGGGTCTTATATCCGATGGTACGTTTACTATTCAAGCGTGATCACCCTCCGGAAGTGTTCTAATCGTCTATGTCACACAGCTATACACATGGGCTTTGACTGTATGGCGATAGGTGTGGGACTCTTTGCGTCCATCATGGCCACTTGGCCGCCAAATGAACGTTTTACATACGGGTAAGAAGGATTGCCGACGCTGTCGTGAGGCATCTAACGACAGATTTAGATACGGTCGCATCGAGACGCTTTCCGGCTTTGCGAACGGCATCTTCCTCGTTCTCATCTCGATGTTCATCATATTCGAAGCCATACAGCGCTTGTGAGTCCGCTCCACTGCAACAAAGCTTACGCACACTAACTGATAATGCGCAGATTAGACCCACCAGAGATGAACACGAACCAGCTCCTTCTCATCAGCACCATGGGTCTTGGTGTCAACCTATTCGGAATGTTCGCGATGGGCGGTCACCATCATCACGGTCATTCGCATGGGCACGATCACGGGCATGGTCACTCCCACTCACACGCTCATACGCATAGCCATGGCCCAGCTCACAATCATACGCACGATCACGTCCACGGTCATGACCACTTGCTTCATGATCATACTCACGATCATGGCCACTCGCACGCACATGAGCATGAGCACGAGCACGACCACGATCACGGCCATGCCGCCCATGAACAGTCTGGCGCGCATAATCTTAACCATGCACACTCGCATGACCATGAATACGATCATGAACACGAGCACGGTCATGAGCATGGGCACAATCATGACCACGACCACAGCCATTCAGAGCATGTCCATGGGGAAGACTGCACGCACGATGATCATGTACGCTCCCTCTCGCCCACTTCACTGAGCTTACTGTCTAACAAATGTCTGCAGGATCATCACGATCACGGCGCAGGAAAGCCGCTCACTAACGGAGATAGCCACTCGACTCATTCGCATTCACCTGAATCTCCTACCTTCCCTACGCGCGGCCACAATCGAACGAACTCAAGCGCACGAGTAGCATTCACCTTCCCGCAGAGCCGCTCTGCTCCGCAAATGGGCGCGCACAATGGTCACTCCCACCAACACCCTCCAGCATTGAGGCTCAACGATAGCCTCGCCATGCGGCATGTGCACGAGCCGAGCGTGGATGGGCCATATGCGTCTGTGCCGCCCAAGACGCCCGCTGATTTGGAGGGCATATTTTCGCCTGTTACACCGAGTTACCAGTTTGGTGTTGACGAGCATTTCGCGGCGCATGCGGATGTACACACGCCGAACTTGCACGATCACTCACACGCGCACCACGATCATGGCCATCATGGGCACAGCGATAATATGCGCGGCGTGTTCTTGCACGTTATGGCTGTGCGTACCATCCTCCTCGGGCTGTTTCGAATGAATGGCTGACTTGATCTTAGGACACGCTGGGGTCCGTGGGAGTTATAATCTCGACCCTACTTATCCAGTTCTACGGCTGGACTGGATTCGATCCTATCGCTTCTCTCTTTATCGCCATCCTCATTGCTGCCAGCGTCATCCCTCTCGTTATCGACACTGGCAAAGTCCTCGCTCTTGACATCACGCACAGAAGCGGTGATATCGAGCACGCACTCGGAGAGGTAGGTACTCCTTTATGCATGATGAACACCATCAACTGACAGTTCGATCAGTTAACCTCTATTGCTGGACTTGTCTCGTACACCGCACCACAGTTCTGGCCGAAGGACTCTGAGAGTATCATCGGCTCCGTCCACATTCAGCTAGCCAGAGCGACTGGTCTCGATCGCGTCGTAAAGCACGTCGATGACCTGCTGAGGGAGAAGATCTCGGGGTTGGAGGAATTGACGATCCAAGTTGAGGTCTTAGAACTGCACACGCACGACTGATTCTGCTTTGCATTATAATACTAGCCTACTACCTACCCGTGATGAAGGGAGAGATTATTACTACTGCTACTACTCGCGCGGACTCGGATAGCCTTGTACACGGAACAACTTCTGTAATTTAAGTATACACATCTTTCCGGAGACGTAGCACTTGTGCAGGGGAAGAGGAGACGATCGATGTATATGAAAGCCAAATGCGGAGAGTGGCGGCGCGGGATTGAGTCTGTAGGGTACGTTGGTACAGATATAAACACCGATACGATGCGATAGCGAGATGCGGAACGAAGCAAGTCCGGATATGCGACGTGAAATGGTCAAGTGGGAGAGCGTTCAAATTTCGGCGTTCAGGTTGTTGAGTAGAGTAGTGAGACACCGTTTGGTCACCATATCACCCTGATGATACTTGAGCACCGATGAGCGTTGCAGACATGGTAGTTCACACACCTTGAGTAGGTTATTAAACGTATTGTCTCTCAGAGCCTCTGGAAGACAGGCTCTCAATGCTTCGCGAGCGCGCGGGTTATCGCTGAGGCGCAGGTAGCAGCGCACGACGTGCTTGAGAAGGCGGACGGCCTGACTATCCACGAGCTGGCCGACCATGTTACTGAGCACAGTACTGACGGCGTAGAAGCGCTCGTAAGTGTGGCAGATGTACTGCAACCCTGTCTCGTCGAGGAGGATCTTCTGGACGATGAAGATCGCGACAGTCTTTGAGAGCTCAGAACCGGTCTCCATTATGCGGAGACAAAGAGGAATGATCTCTGTCGAAAGGAGAAAGTGGATGACGGTGGTATTGTCGTTTTGCTAGATGAACTCTGAGTCAGTACACGAGTGTGATCACCGAGATGAAGAAGCGAACCTTAACGAGTGCGCCGATGACGCCCAGGGAGGTCAGGCGGAGGTATTCGAACGGACGCGTTTTGGAGGTGGTATTGAGGAAGGGGTAGAGGAAGAGCGGTATATGGGCTGTATACGATGTGAGGGACCAGATCTAGGTGGCGCGTGAGGGATACGCACCATTCAGGAATAGTTGTCGCGTGTCTGCATGCGACGCGACGCATTGCAACAGAGCGAGTGCGTTGCAGACCCGGTTCGAGACGTGCGCCGTGAGATTAGGCGGAGAGAGCATGGGGTATACAGAGACAATTTCCTGCAGTAGCGCGGGCATGATGCCTAATGAAGTGGTCAGATAGCCACACGGATTGATGCCGCAGCGAGGCGTACCGAACGAGTGCCAGAGAATAATCGCGAGATCCTCGTATTGCTCGCGTTTCTTGCTCAGCTCCAGCAACGCATTCTCACGCGTATCCGGACTCATGAGATTGATCACGAGTTGGAATATCTGTCCGTTCTCGTCGAGCGAAGCTTCGACTTGTTGAGGTAGGCCCATCGCGTTCATATACCCAGGCGGCGGTTGGCCCATTCCACCGGCGCCTAGTCCCGGGGTCTCGGGGTAGCCCATAGCGCGCTGATACGCGCTGTAGGGCATTTGGTGGTCCATCTTTGAGGCTAACGCCGAAGCGCGATGGGGATTGAGGTCGACGGTCGTGGGCGGAAGCAAGACGCGTGCGGCGCAAACACACTCACGTAAGCCAGACGCGACGAGACTTGGGCGCCATCATAACCAGAAGTAAGAGGCGTGAAACACGCGCTCGCAAGTAGCGTAAGACATCCGGGTTGACATAAAGTCGAGGGGTATATAGGTACAAGCACAGCAGGAGGTGTAAATAAAAAGGCAATATAAATATCATGAGAGGCGAGCGTTCAATCAGACGTAGGTTAATAAGAAGCCAGCCAAATCAGCCTGTCGACACGTCAGTACGTCTACGCGTCTCAAGATTGACAGACAGACCTTTTCCCGAGCGGTATCCGTATAAGCTGAGATAGGGTCTTGGAGGCCGCCAAAGTCAAGAACGAACGAGTGCTCGATGGCCCTGAGCTCCTCAAAGCCATCGCTCCACTCCATGACTCCTCGCAAACGGCCTTGGAGTTCCACTGTGTCAAGAGTTTTGCCAAGTTCCTACATCAGAGGTGAGTGGCCGTAGAAGATCACAGGAAGCTCAGCTAACCTTGTCATTCTTATACAGCTTCATGCTAGTCTCAGTCAGCTCAAAGTAGCGGCGTCTCCAGACGAGCGAGTTGGCGTTCTGGATCGTTACCCAGCCTCGTAGGACAACACCGTTCCACTCCCGCAACCTGTGTTCGCGCAGCTTGGAAGCAGTAGCGGCAGACATCTGTTTGACTTCCTCGACCTTGATCTTCGCGTTCTCGACCTGGCGAGCCAGTTCGTCAAGCTTGCGCTGCTCCTCCATCCGCCAGGCTTCAATGCGGTGCGTTTCGGCGCTGCGCCGCTCGGCGTCTTGCCGCTTCTTGAGCTCCCGCTCCATCACACGATTAACCTCCGCCAACCGCTCTTCCTCCTCCTTCTCCGCCTTGATCATTGCCGCCCGCCTCAAATCAGCCTCGAGCATCTCCTTCCGTCGTCTTTCCTCGTCCTCGAGTTGACGGAGTAGATCCTCCTTCTCGCGCTTTCGGCGCTCTAACCGCAGCTTCTCTTGCTTCGCCGCAGCCTCATCTTCGGCTTTCTTGCGTTGCTGTGCTTCTTGCCGGCGCCTGGCCCGTTCTTCTGGATCAAGCATTCCCCAGCCACGGGGCGCCGGCGAGCCGGATCGACTCGGCGGGTCGCTGGCCATGGACGCGCTACGCATTCGGTTTTCGACGACGGGCACACGGGGTAGGGACTTCTGAGGGTCGTAGGAGCCTTGCCGAGAGACGGGTGGCGAGAAGGCGGGGACGTCTGGAAGCTGGTGCATACGGATATACTTGACGATGTTGTCGGTCGTGAGGCCGTCTCGATGGGTGATGCTGAGCATAGCTTGTGAGACCTGGGAAGTTGGAACGGAGATATGAGGACTAGCGTGCGAGTCAAAGAACGTGACGGTTGCGAACCTTGAACCAGCTCTGTACGGTTCGTGCAGTCGAAAGGGCCCTGGCTGCAGGGCGAACGTGAGATGATATCAGTATCAATGACGAGAATAGCTATCAGGGATGAGGGATGTGAACGCACTTCGACGGAGGCCGGATACTCCTTCTGGGATGTACGCTATCGTGGCGTAGAAACGAACGTTGTCGACCGACTCGCGGATGAAAGAAAAGTACACGTTGTCCTCGGACACGTTGTGTCGGAGCTCTGTTATACCACCAGAGCCTGCTGCGAACAGCTTCAATCCGCCGGCCCACTGTGATAGATCTCGGTGTTCATAGCTGTGCATAGCCCGAATGATAACAACAGGACACGTACTTTTCCGTAGCTAAGCAGCAGCCTGGATTCGGAAGGTGATGAATACGACGACATCTTCCCAGGATGTTGGGTAAAGCTTACGAACCAGTTGAGGGACCCGCTATGGGCGACGTTCTGATAGGCCATGCGGATATCGGCGTCAGGAACTTCATTGTGTGACATGGACATGATAGACGTGAGAGTAGAAGTAGAAGAAATGTAAAGACTAGCTTGTACAAAGAAAAGAGAGAGGAGAAGATGGGAGAATAGGAAAGAGTGTGTTTGCGCCGCGCACAGCCCGAGCCCGCGCGCCTTTGGAGCCATCAGCGCCTTGCGGCTGCTTCGGCCCGACGACGTGCGCCTGTCACGGACTTGTGACTTTACGCGTTCAGAGCTTTGTTGATTCGGACACACGCGGACCACGCACCTTCCCTTCCGCGCCCATGCAGGCCGAGGTGCCGACTTCCGATACCGAAGAGCAGGAGTATATCGACGCGGAGACTGCCGAGTACTGGACTTCGGATGTAGAGGAACAGCAGCGATATCTCGATGCCCTCAATGCCGATAATTGGTTGCGCGCCATCGACCGCGTGGGCCGTAGGACCTCGCAGCTGCGAACCGCGCACGCGCGAGCCGTGAGTCGACAGGCTACGGTGCGATATATATCTATAGTGTGCTGCTTATTTGCTTATATCAACCGCAGAGTCCACCGCCCGCATCGCAGCGTGCAACCAGTACAGAGTCAGATATCATCTCGCAGAGACAATCCACTCCACCTCTGCAATTTCCATCTTCGCCACTCAACACGCATCCGCCAACGACGCCCTCCAGCAATGCCGACCCGTTTGCTCTGCCCTTGAGCGCCGCGCCTTCCTATGCCTCGCCGCACCCACAATCTCACTCGTCTCAACTCTGGTCCCGCCACTCTTCGCTTTCACCTCTGTCGCATCGATCCCATAGTCTGGCACCACAACGTCAGATTTGTGCGTGCACTACATTCTATTATGCTGTTGCGTATACTGACATGTATTCAAGCTCTTGAAATACCTACTTCCTCGCCTGCGCTATCTCCTCGTTTGCCTACGCCATCTCTGGCTTATCCATTCTCTCCGCCAGCACGACGGATAACGCCACCACTACCGGAGACATCGCCATCACCCCTCCCAGAGACACCCCCTCCGCCTCCACCGCCGCCTCCACCGCCTCCACCAGACGAACCAACGGGTCGCTACGGCTTCCGCCAGCGCAAAGCGAACCAGCTCAAACCATATGAGCATGAGCGCAGGGTCTACAAGCAGATGTTTCGCCACAACCCCGACGCTATCGTGCACCGAGCCGAACTTCGAGAGAAGACGCCAGGGGAGAGTCAAGAAGCCGGGCAGGGAGAGTCACAGCAGGACGGAGATGCGGACGAGGACGAGGACATGCAGGACGTGTATTTGAGCCCTCGCAAACGACGGAGAAGTGTTAGCGATGACGTACCTGGCGATGATGTTGACCGTCCGCGACATCGACATCGCGCGGGTGGCAGTTCTTCTGTCAAGCGGACGAAGTCATTTCGGAAACATCCCCAGAAGTTTCCTATGCGGCCTCCTGAGCACACGGATGGTCCTAGTCGTCCTCCACCGACGAGTTCGTCACCTCCGCTTTCTCCGGCTGGCAATCGCGTCCAAAAATGGCAGCCCGCTGCATATGTCGACTCGGATGACGACGAAGATTATGGCCCACTACCGCTCGAGGGTCCGGTGCGTCACGAGTCGCCTATCCTACTCTCCCCTCCAGTGCGTATGTCTACTGCGAACACATGTGTGGCACTGATGCCCTTGCAGCGCTTTGATTCTCCTGTGCAGGCCCCGCTGGATAACGGTGCAAACGAAGAAGCCGAGGAGGAAGCTGAAGACAACGATGAGGATGACGCCGCTTTTGATTTCGACGACCGGTCCGACGATGTCATCTCTCTGACTGATCGTTCAAGTCTGCCACCGCAGAGCGATCGATCGTTCTCCGAAGAGGCGACAGAAGTGTCTGCTCCCCGCCGTCGCAAGGAGCCAGACCAGGATCGCTCTCGTGCACTCTCTAGACTTCGGCAGGATCGCGTTCGCGCTCAGTCTCGAGCAAAGCCCGTGAAGCTCGCGCCTATCTTTACTCATCCTGGGAACCAACCTTTGGGCCAGAAGGGCCTGAAGATCAAGTTGAAGCCCGGCCCTGGAAAGAGTCGCACAAAGCCTGTGCCGCAGGACAAGCGTATCAAGAGGGTAATGAAGACATCTACATCTCGTCGGCAGGCGCAGGTCCGCAGTGAGTAACCGATTTGTCCGTGGCTTTTGGGAAGAGACTGACGATACATCATAGCGACGCATGCTGATAGACAAGAGCACCGTGCTGCTCGACGTGCGGGCAACGGTCATGGACCCGCTCCAGTCCAGGTCGAAGTCTTTGCGCCTCCGGCGCGCATTGCGCGAGAAAAGAGGCCATACGCGACAGTTGACCTCGAAGACGACGGCATACGGCGCGCACTCGCTCCGCTACAGCTGAATATGGTCAATCGTACGGCCGCTCAAGCGCCTGCTGTCACGAAGCCTCAGTCTCGAGCTATGGCACGCACGTCATCGACCCGTTCGTTTGGGCGTACGTCGTCGGTCCGCACCTTCTCGCGCACGTCCTCTGTCGCGACCTCGATCAACTTGGACTTCGGTCAGCACGGCCCACACGCCCCTCCTGCGCCACATCACGCCGACAACGTGCGCGCCGTTGCTGCCAATGCTCCCGTCCTCCGCGCAGAAGAGATAAAGGCACCGCGGGTGGCCTTCAAGCTCAAGGACACTTTCCTAGGAGACGGCTGGTTGCGCGAGTTGATGGATACGCTTGACGGCGTTGTTCGAAAACCGCACAGGCCCGAGGTGCTCAGTCGGCGACTGTCGCCGTCCTCGAGTGCACAGCATGTTCGGGAGGCTGTGCAACTGCTCTGTACGGCCCGCGACCTTCCCTGCGAACAGCTTGAGTTCGCTGCGCACAGTGCGGCCACGCATATCTCGTGGGCTTGCAACCCAGCCCGTACAGACGCGGTGTCTGAGGAGGACGTTAGACGCTTGTGGGACGCTGTCTGCGAGCACGGCGAGAACATGGTGACACGCGTCGTGGATAGCTCGGAGTTTGGCTCTGCCCTTCGCATGCGTGAGGTTCTGTCGGCGCATTGGATCTCTCTGGAGCTCGTGCTGGCGTTCAAGCCGTCGCGTCAACTGAAGGAGATCCGCGATGCTGCCGTCTCGGAGCGGATGGGCGCTCTCGTCACACGACTCGTCGCTGCAGGGATCGATGCTCCTCTTCGATTGCTCGCAGCAGAGCAAGAAACCGAGGCTCATGATCCGCTTCCGACATTGACTTTGTCCCTTTGGATACGCGTTATACACGTCTGCTCCAGATACTCGCTCCCGCTATCTGGGCTCGTCGGGGATGCCGTTGCGCAGACCGTAGGGACTAACCCTGGCCTCAAACGTAGCGAGCTTGTATGGACACTGGCTTACGGTCTCGGGGTTCTATCTCGCTTCAACGGCAGCGGCGTCTACACTACCACCTCTATCTGCGATTCGTTATGGCCACTCGTGACGCTTGCTCTTCAGTCAGTCCGTCTCGAATGGAACTCCGAAGTCGACGACCAACTCGGCGAGGACGTGCTTCTCAAACGGGACGACTACCTTCGACTCATCGTACGCCGGTGCTGGGTACTCTATGACCGTCATAATTGGGTTCTGGATCTTGACGGGTTGCGCGTCGTCGAGCAGCTCGCTGCAATCTTCCGTAGCCGCAAGTTCGCCAACCTTTTGCACGAGTCGTGCGCACTCCCAGCCTTCGTTCTGCACCACGAGCCCGAGGCGCTATTTCGGTCTGACGAAGATGAGACGGCGTTCATCACTTGGCTGAAGCTCTTCGCTGTTGTCATTTGCGATAGCACGCCGGAGATGGCGAACGCCGTTCGCAAGTTCAGGCTCGGGGTAACGCCCGTGGGCAAAGCTTCAATCGACGACCCGACTGCGCCGACACATAAGGAGATGTCTATGTTCTGCAATCGTCTGTCTTTCGGCGCCGCCTTCCTCGCGATGCACATTAGACGTCCCAATGACGCACCCCGTCGCTCCCTCGACAGTGCTACCAGCTTCCTCAATATCAACATCGGCGCCTGCGCGGAATCCTTGCGTTCGGTGGCCATCGACGCGATTGCATGTATGGGCTCTTTTCAACAGCGGCTCAGTGGCTCTTGGACCGAACTCGCTAAATGGGGTCAATTGACCATACGTGCGCTACGGCAAGAGTGGATCAACTCACCCGGGTTATCGGAACGTCTTCTCTCACGACTCCTGTTCAACGTCGAAAAATTGCTCGAGTCTGAGCGCGAGGGAGATTGCGCGTTTTTGGCCGTCATGGAGATTGACGACTCGCCGAGTCGCGAATCGTTGGGTCGTGAGCTAGATCCAGACTATCGTCGTTCTGCATTCGTTGACTATCGCATTGCTAGTCTGTATTACCGAGGCACTCAGCCTGCCTATCGATGTCCTTTGTGCTCCAAGTGTTGGACCTATCACTCGACGGATCATCGGATTATGCATCGCGTATGTCGCCCGTCATCTCTCGGTCCGGCCCAAGGAGCAGAAGGAAGAGAGTCAGGATGAATTCGTGGGGCTCTTCGAGGGCATGACCGACGCGGAGCTTGCCCAAGTAGATGGCTTACAGGAAGACCCGATCAAGAAAATGGCTCGGGGGGTGGCCCAGGTCTGACATTGTGACCGTATACCATAAGATCCGTGCTGACAACCGTCTAGATGATCGGTAACGACATTGTCCCCACATTACATCGGATAATATGTGGATTTTCTCTAGAGTCGGGCAAAACACCAACTTCTGAGCAATCTGCTTGGCTTACAATGTGGCTGGAGTCTGTGGCAGCCGATGTCAAGTTTCGTAGTCGGGTATGTTACCATCCTACTATGGCTGAAGTGGATAGCTGACAATTTACCTCAGGATTGGAGCATCTATATGGGCATCACTTCTAGGTCACCTTCACGTATATCAGATGGAGTTTGGAGGGCACATGTGGAGATGCAACTCTTCGCATATGCTACTATCTAATAGCTTGTATAGTCTGGGACCTATCTGGCATCCCAATATTATTGTGACGCCCGACTGGGGCGGCGAGCGGAGACTAGTAGGTATCGTAGCGAGTAGTCGGGCTAGCTGTGGTGGCTACGCCCTAGTGCGAGACCGAGAGCTAGCGAGGGCGAGCGCGATGCGATGAGCGAGAGCCCGCGAGAGTTTAGGAAGCTACTCGAGAGCAAAATACCTGAGTTATGTCCCAAACGACCACAGCCCAGTGGCCCGTGGCCCAACGCCCCAAACAATCCTCACGTGCAGTAGCCCGGGAATCGTTTTCGACCGGGCCACTGGGCCACTGGAGCATTGTTTTGTTTCGGCCGTAGACCTCGCGCGCGCGCGCCCTCATTATTCCCCGGTTTCCCACCCTGGGCTGCACGGCATCCCTCCCTGGGCCGTGCTACCGCTCTGTGGCGGGGTGAGCGAGGGCTGCCCGACCGCCAAGATGTCCGACGGCAGCGGCGGCAATCGGCGCGCCCTGCTGAACGCGAGGGCGAAATTACGCCCTGTACATATCGCAGGCGCGCAGAGGCGCGTGCGGGCTACTCGATTCAAAACAATGGCCCGGATTGATTCGGACCGCCTCCGTGAGCCAGTCGTGAGAAAGGGCCACGGGCTACGGGCTACTGGGCTATCACTGCCAACATCGACATCTTTTGGCCGGATAAAAGCCTCGAAAAGGCGTGAGTAAAATTACGCGTTTTGGTGGGCTTTTACCCAGATAAAGGGCCTGCGAAAATGGCAACATTTTCTGAAAACATTTGTATAGGGCAAAATGTAGCCTTTTAGGGCACACCTTTTTACCACATGAAAGGCGACTTTTGCCGTCAATTTCGCTCAGAAAGCAGCCAAACGATTCGTTTTGTCTGCCTTTTGCCTGCCCACACAAAGGTTAAATTTTGATTCTCCAAAATGATTGCGGAAAAACTAACCCTTGTGATTTGCCCTTTACCCGGGAAAAAGGCCGCCAAAACGCGTAATTTTATTTCCGCTTTTGCACCGCTTTTGCACGGGTAAAAGATGCTCATGTTGGCAGTGTATAGTCGTTTGAGACGGAACTCAACGTTCAACCTTACCCCCTTCGAACCGCCGAGGCGCGCGAAGACCGCGGCCGTGTTGCCCGAATCGGCAGCAATATGTTCCCACAAGAGCCAAGTTCACCTCGGACGCCCATCTCTTCACCCCGCTTTGGTCCCTATTGTTCTCCATGCACTATCCCCTTATACGCAATGGGTCGCTCTCGGCGCGGGCTGCCCCACCTTCGTAAAGCTCATGTCAACAAAATCTCGCCCACCTACTCCAGATACCCCCCAGTTCAGATACTTGCCCAAGGACCAATGGCCCGCCCCAATCGTCCACTTTCCAAACCTTGGCGATTTCGTCGTCCTTACTGTCGACCCGGTGGCCTCAGTGGCACACTTGGATGAGGCAGCAAAACACGCCGCTCGTGCATTGCCGCGACAGCGTTTCGTTGCTTTGGTGATGGAAGTACGGTCGCAGTCGGTTTCTGGCGGAGCGACGTGAGGCCTGATATCCTATAGGTTTATGGCCTGCCCCTGAATACAAAGCCGTTCACGCATTGCTCCTTCGCGCTGGTTCGCCAGGGACTACCTACCCGACATAATCCTCCATGGGACTCGCCCGAGATGTGCTATCCCATTCTACCCAATGCACGGCATCCGACGCGCGACGAAACTGTGCAGCCCATCCACCCACTTCCTCTAGATGACTGCTACATCGATATGACTTCCGCATTCTTGGACGCAATACGTTGCCGTGTCACCACATCACCTCGCGACTACACGCCAGTCTTGCGTGTTACGATGTCTCAACTCACCCGCTTAGAAGCACTATTCAGTGACGAGGTGGCCAATCTCGAGGACATCGAGGAGAGACTGGCGATGGGAGACCTGGATGCAATCGCGTCCGTCCCGCTGCCGACGACACCTTTGTCGGCTTTTCAAATTCCTTTACCTCCCTCGCCTTCCCTCACTCCGCTGGAAGACAAGGGCCCATCCGAATTCGGGATGAAGACCGACTTTCACGCGTCGAGATCGGAGGGCTCTGAGTATGGAGCTGAACGGACCGCCGCGGATGCTACCGATGAGGTGTCTATGATTGGTAGCGATGATAGCGACTCATCCGTCGAGGGCTCGGAAGAGCTCGGGAGCGAAGCGGCTGATGACCAGTTATTCGAGATGTTGCGGTTCGAGAACATCCTAAATGATGTCGGCGACTTGCGCGACCCCGCTGTTCATGTTTCGTACGATCTAAGCGAGGTTGGTGAGGTTGTCGACCCCATATCCTTCATCAAGATTCGAGACGAACTGCGCCGGCACGTTCTTCACTGTTCCCTTCTATTTGAATTACATCTAATGTTGCGCTAGTATAATCGACGAGGCCGAGATCCGGCTGGGGATCAGGGTCGAGTCCGCTCCCTCAGCACGTAGCCCACCACCGAAGCTTTCGCCGGTTCCGAGTACGAAACTCGATCGATCGGCGAATGCAGTTCAGACTACCGACACCGTTCGCAATGAGTCAAACGAACGTGTACCTCGTATGATGCTTCTTCGGAAAGCGTTAACTAGTTGCAGGCGTGCTTCACTGTCATTATGGGACCACTTGCGTGGGTTGGCGACGTTTCCCTGCCATAGTGCTTCGGCGACATCCGATGCTATGTAAGGCCAATCGCGTGCCCAGGTTGATGACTACGTCAGCGAGAACCGACTCGTATCATAGCTTATAATGTGGATCGATACCCGTGCCGTTCTCTCATAGTCCAGATATTAAAAAAATGTCGCTCCTTGTTACGCTTCATCTGCGATGTCGGACGCAGACGATCGACTAGTATACGTAGTCGCCTTCGCCCCTGTACTACGATAGTCGCACCTCATCATACACCTTCACTATGCAATAAGATTGCACTATGTGGGTCTAGGGACCGAGTACTTGCGATCTGCGTGCCAGCACACCCGTGAGAAAGCCGGCTGAGCTCGCCGCGGCGCCAACAGCAGCGACGGCGGCCTCCTTCGCACACTCATGCACCTTGTCCTGTACCAATCAACTGTCGCTTTTGTATTGCTATACCCGAAAGGGTCGATCTATACGAAGCCGTGACGCAGCCTCATGCGGCCTTTTGTTCAGACGTCCATTGTTCAACTTCTGGCACGAGCCAGTTTCCATACAAATGAGCCGCCTTGACGATACCTTCCGCACCACCGCCTTTCCCCCTTGAACGATTACCGTCAGCAATACGCATGGATAACAACAATCAGCCTCAGCCGCCAAAAATGGACCAATACAAGTATCTGCCGAGACAGAAGCCAATCTCGACAACCTGCTGGCCCGGAATCGGCGATTTCGTCGTTCTGTCGGTCGACCCAGTGGCCTCGGTTGCTCATCTGGACAACATTGCTCGGCGTGCAGCTCGGAAGCTACCCGTACACACCTTCCTTGCCTTGACGATGACGGTGCGTCGTACCGCCTCGCAGCTCATGTAACACATTCTGATCAGACGATAGGGATACGGGCTTCCTTTGGAGAGCAAACCGTTCACGTCTTTCCGCATTGCTCTAGTCCGACAAGGACTCCCGACAGCTCTCGACCCGCCTTGGGACACGTCGGACATGTGTTACCCCATCTTACCGAATGTTTCGCACCCGACAGGACGTGAAACCATTCGGCCACTACATCCGCTTCCTTTCCCTAACTGCTACTTCGAGACAACTACGCCGTTCCTCTCGCATCTGCGCTGTCGTGTTACGACCGCTCCACGTGACTATACACCCGTTTTGCCGATGCCAACCTCGCAACTCTCCCGTCTGAGCTGGCTGATGAGCGATGAGGTGATGAACTACTTCAAGCTGCGCGACTCCGTTGCTCGGGGGCAGTTGGACGCGATCGCCTCTATACCCCTCCCTCCATCTCCCGTATCCGCCTGTCATGCACCTCTACCGCTGTCCGAATCACGCTCGTCAGATATCGACGAGATAATCGGGGCAGAGGCCGATGTAAGCTCGGATTGCAGTACGGATGAATCCGAGACAAATCCGTTCCCATGCTGTTCCTCGCAGGACGAGGTATCCATCATCGCCAGTGATGATGACCTGTCCGTGAACGAGCGGAAGGACGCCGATGTCAATGACAATAGATCTGATGCACAGCTGGACCTGATGTTGCATTTCGAGGACTTCATCAACGATACGGGGGATCTGCACGATCCTGTGGTAAACGTCTGGTACGATCTGGACATGATTACGGAGGTCACGGACCCCATCCACTATATCCGGGTCTGCGATGAGATCAAGAAGTGCGTAAACGTGTACTATGGTTCTCTTGTCCTTCTTGTGTTGATGCTTCGCGGCAGGATCATTGAAGAAGCCGAGATACGACTAGGCATCAAGGTCGTTGACCTCCCTGCTGGAGCATCATCAACTCTGCCGAAGTCGCCAGAGACGTCGCGTACAAGCAGTGCTCGCTCGGTCAACTTACCCTCAATCGCTCACTCACAAGCCCGCCCGAAAGATGCAGACAAGCGATGCGCTCCACGAACTAGAGCGATCGCTGCGAAAGCGCGAGAGTGGCCTTCCCGAATGTGGCACCGTCTGTGTAGAATCCTGATTCCCTGTACTTACTCTGGGACCGCAGCATCACAGTAGTCTTCGTCTTTGCTATGTACTTGATTATATCACTTGCTACTGAGAAACGGCTCACAATACTTATCCCTTGAGCGCTTGAAGCTTGACCCCTCAATCAGCAAAATAGCGCGCTGATTATATCTGTCCCAAGCATCGCATGTTATAATGATCTGGGAGGTATAGCAGCCCGTGGCACAAGGTCAGAAGGCCACCGCACCATGTTTATCGCTAAGTAAGTACTCGGTATGACTATGGTGCGAATCCTCCGAGTCGCGCGTACTTCCGGTCGCCGCGGCGAGGTTGACCTTGGTTCACGCTCCCATGCGCGCGTCTGACCGAAGCATCCATGCGGAATATATTGCCGGGCGCTCGCTGGCCTATGTCTGCATTTGCACTCACGGAGGGCGATCTGTCACAGATGTTTTCTTAAACGGCTTCTATTGTTCTGCCCACTACTTGTGCCGCTCGTTGTTCGCTTGCCAAAGTGACCACCTACCCACCCACCGTAGGCCATGAACGACACAACATCCATACCCGGCACGACCTGCGCCTCCGGGCCGATGTACCAGTACCGGTACTTTGCCAAGCCCAGACCTATCTCGACAGTCTGCTGGCCTGGTATCGGCGACTTCGTCGTGCTCTCGATCGATCCTGTAGCCTCAGTCGGACATCTGGACAAGATCGCTAAACGGGCGGCTCGCAAGGTGCCGGTGCGCAAATTCGTGGCCTTGACAACCTCCGTGCGTCATCCGTATATGTCGGTTCACGCCGAGACTGACAGCGATACTATAGGGATATGGCCTGCCCCTCAAGTCGAAGCCGTACACGGCATTCCTCCTTGCCTTCGTTCGTCAAGGGCTCCCGACGCTGGACAACCCTCCGTGGGACACATCTGACATGTGCTACCCCATATTCCCCAATACGTATCACCCGAAGGCTCGCGGCGCTGTGCGGCCGTCCCACCCATTTCCCCTACAAAACTGTTACTTCGAGACGACTCGACCTTTTTTGACGTATTACAATCTGCGGTGTCGGGTGACGACGACCCCACGCGACTATACCCCCGTTCTGCCGATGCCCTCTTCTGAACTCTCTCGTTTGGAACGGTTGATGGATCAGGAGGTTCACTACCGCGCCGAAATTCGCTGTCAGCTTGCGCAGGGTGATCTCTCTGCAGTCGCGTCTATACCCCTTCCTCCATCGCCATCCTCTGCCTATGGGACTCTTCCACCATCATTTCCGCCGACTTCGTCGAGCCTCGACGGACAGTCTTCAGACGAAAGCTCAGGCGATGAGGAGTCAGAGGACTGCGTCGTATCGCCCACTTCCGAGGCAGATGATGTGTCCATCATCCGCAGTGAAGACTCGTCCGGCTCCTTCGCAGACGAAGGGAGCGAGATGGATGAATTGCCGACGGATTACGATGCCGTTGATGCCCAACTCGATTTGATGTTGAGGTTCGAGGACTTCATGAACGACACGGGAGATCTTCGGGATCCTGTCGTGAACGTCTGGTACGATCTTGACATGGTCACTGAGGTGACCGATCCCATGCTCTTCATCGAAGCGCGCAAGCAGCTGCTCCAGTACGCACCTTGTCTTTGTCGCAATCATCGGTCGCTGACTGCACAATTCTTCCGCTCAGGATTATCGACGAGGCGGAGATTCGTCTTGGTATTAGGACCGGCACTTCGGAACCCTCAGCGCAGAGTGATAGGGGTTCCATGAACACACTGCCCAGTCCTGCGGTTCTCTCCGCGGAGTCGTTGTCACTCCCTCGACCAAGGGAGGGCTTTAAACCTCGTCCTTCGAGGTGGATGCGCTTACGCGGCGTCACGCGGAAGCTGGTGTCCGCATTGTTACAGTTGCACCGTGTCCAAGAGCTGGGGAGATTAACCTCCCGTTTCGCTTCGAGTAGGACGTAGACATAAGGCTTTGTGATCACCCCCAATGTAGCCATCACCTCTCAACATGTATTACCATATCTACTTGACTCTCTTTACAAGGGCTCATCATATCGCATCCCAATGGCAGATCTCGCCACTGAGAAGACCGACATCGCTCGCCGTGGGAGACGCGCTTCTCCGGGCGCCAATCGCCGCGCGCGCGTCGTGCTTATAGTTTGCCCTGTGCTCTCATGCCGACTTTGGTGTTGAAACCAGTATTTGATGTCCCTATTGTTATGCCTAGCAACCTACGCGTGTTCTGCTTCTTATTTGTCTCCATATCATTCGCTGGGCACTGCTGGGACCAACTATGGTAGCTATTGTTCTGCGTTGTACTTCTTGCCGCTCGGCGTGCGCTTCAGTGGACAACCTACCACTGCTCAGCCGGACTGACCAGCGCCACCGATACCAAAAAGTCACGACACGATACAGCAACACGAATGTCCCAGTTCGGCTTCTATCCAGACCCAACACGCCCTTCTCCGGCCAATTGGCCTCGATACGGGGACTTCTTCGTGTTCACGGTCGACCCCGTAGCTTCGGTCGCGCACTTGGATAGACGCGCGGTGCGGGCCGCCAGGAGCTTACCGCGGCAGCAGTTCGTAGCCTTGGCAGTATCGGTGCGTGCGCTACTCTGCCTTCGCGTTAGATTGGGTGGCGAATGCTGACGTTGATCCCACAGCTCGAATGCCACGTACCGTTCGAAGGAGTACCTTTCAGCTCGTTCGAGATCTGCCTGGTCCGTCAAGGCCTGCCCAGAACCCCTCCACCATTCGACTTCCAGGACATGTGCTGCCCCATCTTCCCGAACACCGATCATCCCTCTGGCCGCCGCGCGTTGCGACCGATGGTCCCCTTCCCGCTCAGCGACTGCTATATCGACTTGACGGAGCCGTTTCTGGGCATAACATATTGCCGAGTCCCTGATGCTGCGCGAGAATATAAAGACGTGGTGCAAGTCCCCGTGAGGGAGGTCGAGGGCCTGATGGACTTCTTCTCCGATGACGTTGGTCGTGCGGATGAGATCGACGAACGGCTGCGCGAGGGGGATCTGGAGGTCGTGGCGAGGGTCCCGCTTCCATCATCGCCGCAAGGATCTGTGCGTGGTGTAGCTGCCGCTTCGACCCCTTCTATCTCCAGTGGCGTACGGCGGTGCAATCGGGACGCGCCTGGATCGGCGGATTCCGCTGCTGACAAGATCTCCCTGAGCTCGGACGGCGAAGACGTGTCTATGATCGCAAGCGATGACAGCACATCGGACGAGGAGGAAGAAGAGTACTACCTCGAAGTGCCTGATCCCACTCTGCACGAACGTGTGCGCGCCCAGAACGGTTGGGAGTATCATGGCAACATGCGACGCCACCCTGTTGTCCACGTCTCGTACGACCTTAGCCAGCTGACGGAGATCACCGATCCGTTACTGTTCATCGATGTTCGGGATAAGATTTGCGAGTACGTGCACTCTGTACGATCTTCCCACGAGGAGAGGACCAACTGACGTACTACCCGCTAGAATAATTATCGAAGCTGAGATCCGCTTGGGTCTTCTTCCAGATCCCAAGCTCGGCTCTGCGCGGTACTCTATCGCATCGGCGTCGAGGGCTGATCTCCCGGTGTACAAGGAGGCTACCGACTCAGAAGACTCAGAAGACTCGGACTCGTCTTCTTGTTCTTCACTGGGACAAGCAGCGGTAGTGAAGCCACAGCCCCCAGCGTCGCGATGGACCCTGCTGCGAAAGACGTGCCGCAAGGTCTGGCGCCGGGTGCGCGCCTTCGTGGTGTGCAGGAAAGAAATAGATGTCTGAGTGTAGACCGGGCCTGAGCGACTCATGTATACTGTATTCTTAGACTAATGGACGACCGTGAACGTAATGCAATCAGGCGTCGCGAAAAAGGCGAATGCATAACATAAGTAAGGAGGAAAGTCACAGTGCAAACGAGACCCCATAACCTCGGGCAAACTCTGCCTCTCGCTCAACTGATTGGTGTCTTCGGTCAACTCCTTCATTATCTCTCTACCCTGCACGCTAGGGGGTGGTAGAGCGTCTCCGCAGATGGCAACGATGTATGTGACGGTGGTTGTGGCCCGCGTTAGGTTTTCCACGAGTGTTGGAGAGAGTGGGTGAGTGGACGCCGGAGAGGGCAGATTGGATGACGAAGACTGTGGATTCGGTTTGGACTTCGGAGTAGGACTGTACATTCTATATCAGCTTTGTATTCCACTATAACACACGTATTTGAGACGTACCTTCAACTCGACTGACGCACCCTCGTCCCCCCCTCACCCCCCGGATCCTCACTCGTCCCTTAAATCCCCATCGGCGCCCCATCAGCAATCTGGCAATTCAAAGGCGTCGAGCGTGACGCGAGGGGCCCGTCGGATGAACACCGTGAGGCCGACATGCGTCAGTCAGGCAGCTGCGGCGTGCGACGCCGCAACGTCGAATATGCCGACGAGCCTCATGCTGGCGGGCTATGAACGTAGGGAGCATCTTGAAAGGGCCCGACCTCCGGCTCACTCCCCGAACGTCTCGAACTCGTCCCGTGGCACAGCGCGCGAAAAGGATGCAGACTAGTATCGTCGTACGTTGCCATGAAGTTCAAGTCGGTCGCGAAGACAGGTGACGCAGATATGAGAGCTGAAATCATCCCGACATGGCAGGTTCAGTCACTCCAGGGATGGTCTCGTTCGGGGTCCATCTCGGCGCAGAAGCTCCGACAGTCGTAGCAGGAAGCAAACTCTCTGAGGCGGCAGCACGCCGAGCGTGGTCCTATGTAAACAAGAACCCCGATTTGAACCTCAACCGTCATGTTTCCCAGAAACCCCGTCCATACTCGCTACGGTCACTGTTTGCTGATAGCCAACGGCTTGACATGCATGGACTATCATACTCAAGTACTCAACATCATCCTCTCGTCGGCAAATACTGTATCGGTGCCTCTATATATGGGGCTCTGGCCCTCTGCAGCGACCTCTGATCTTGAATATGTTGGAACTGGGATCCTCACTCCCTTATTTGGGCCATATGTTCTTCTATGCTGATGATCAACAAGAAATGAATACCTTTCTAGAAAGCTGTGCCCAGAAGACGCCATTTGTGGCGCGTCTGTTTTCAGCTTTGACGCCGGGCGACGTATTTATATCCCCATCAGCTACGGTCTATCAGCGCTCAGCCTTTGCGCTTCCTATTCCTACCCTGACATGCCTTCTCACGACCCTGCGTATGAGTATGCCGTCCTCATGGCGGCGATGCGTAGGGGGTATGCCCTCTTCAACCCTCAACCTCTTTCCTACAAGAAGAATGGAAAGTCTGTTTTGGCATCACGCGTTGAAATCGGGGATGTGGGCTTCATAACTGGCAGCGGATCATTCTTTCGACTTTTCAACATCCATTTGGCCACAGATGATCCTCGTCAAGCACCTACTCTTCCCACTGGCTTTGTGCCTCTCGAGAAGGACGACCTCTCCATCCCGCATACTCGGGACTCTTCTTCGTTGCCTCGTATCATGCGGCACCGCACGGGTCGCTCCGTCACGCTCGAAGCAGGCGCATCCTTGTACGTTGACCATTTTGGTTCGGGGCGTAACATGATCTTCTCATGAGCCAGCGGTTCAGATCAGGAGCGGCAGGTGCCTCGCTTAGTTGGAATCTGGAGCACGAACAAGGCGCTGTTTTGGTCTATTTCGATCAACATGTAACAATGAACGCTGAGAACAAGGAGTCGTATCGACGGTACTTTCGAACCCATCAGAATTCCTGGATCGACCTCGTCAAGTACAAAGGCTACGGCAGGGCTCTTAGCGAACTCGTTTTAGTCACAGGTTGCGACTGGACGTGCGCATGGGCTACCATGCATAGCGAGAGTCGCTCCTTGGGCGCAAAGCTGTCGCTTGAGGCCAATGTGCCTGCAGTGGGGGCGAATGCGTCCCGCACGGGCGAGGTACGGTGGAGTAATGCCATCGAGGTGCCGGCGCTATGTGGACCCTCCTCGGACAACCGCTCGCCGTCTACGAGGGAGTTGCTATCCAAACTCTCCGGCGGGGACCCATCCGCGCCCACCTCCGATCATGTTCCCGGTGTTATATTGCAGCTGAATGATGTCCAGGAGAGACTGCTACTGGACGAGTTGCCGGCAGATCAGTGTATGTTCATACGAGGTTTCCGAGGCCGCAAGCTGCGCGGTCCTCGAGAATTGAAAGCTGCCGCTGGTCCGCATGTTCTCTCCCGCGGTAGTTTTGATGATGACGACGATCGCCCTCGCGTCGACGCTGGTGTCGACATAGAAGACGATCAGGAAGACGTGCAAGAAGTCTTGGGATCTCCGCCAGGGATAGTACGTGTCCACTGAATTGCTTGTCTCGATCGTGATCATAACGTCGCCTGCAGGGCGAAAGCTTGCTGTCGTTCGCGTTGCGCGTTATTGCTGATGTAAGTCATGCACAAGCCATTGCCGTTTTCAGCGCTCAATTGTATACTGCAGCACCACAACGCCCACTCCGCCAACGACACTATGGACTTTCCAGACGACGACCCAACTATAATCATGCACGACGATGAACTGCTGCCATTCATACCCCAACCGCAGGACGAAGATGTGAGGCATTCTTCTTACGCCACCCAAAATCACACAGATGTTCTCATCAGCAATCGATAGTTCATGCACTGGGACAGCGTCGAACATGTGTTGCCATATTTCAAAAGCCGTTTGTACAACTCCTTCACAAAGAGGACGTTCACAATTCTTCTGGGACGGGCGCAAGAAATAGAGGGTATTGTTCTTGATCCGGAAGGCAGGGTTCGTACATCTTCTGTGACAGAGGATACCCGGCATGCTATGAAATCAGGATCTGACGAATACGAGCATAGGTTCTTAGTGGGACGGTATCTGCACTCGTGAGATACCTCATAACGCACAAGCCTGCAGATCCAAACTTCGACGAGGTGTTTCACAAGACGTACAAGTCATTCATGGCTGTCGATCTGCTCGTTCTCAAATTGTCGCAAAGGCTGGGAAGCGACCCGCCCGATGAATCAAGGCGGAAGAATGATGAGGAGTGGGAGTCGAATGAGTGTTTTGTTTGGGGTCGCGTACTCACTACGTTCAACCTGATGGTCATGCACGGCGATATCTCCCAGGAGGAACATTACGATCGTCTTAAGACTTTTCAGACGAATGCTGTAGGGAAACGGTACTATGCTGTGCTGATGGGACACCTTGTGAGTCAATCGTCTCTGTGATTTCCTCTGGCGTTTTCTGAAATGCTATGTCCGGTTGACCCACCCCGGCCTCCGCGAGAGGATCACGATATCTCACAGCCCCCCGCCGACTCCCATTATTCCTCAATTACATAGGCCACCGAATCTGCGAGATTTTGACCCCTTAGAAGTTGCAAGGCAGTTGACAATCATAGACTGTGGTTTGTTATCGAAGATCAAGGTACGCATTTCTCATCTTGGCGGAATTGACATAGGAAGAGAACTGATGGTGATACGCCAGGCGAGCGACTGCTTGGCGAGGGCGAGAGGGCAGATTGGCGCGAGTGACGATATCGATGCTGCGATCACGATGAGCAACAAGGTGCGGTACTTTCTTCACAGAGAGACTACGCTGTACGTCGCTTCTCTCGGTGCTGAGTTGCTTGACTGCAGTGGCGAGACCTTTGAATCGTTTGCATAGCGTCAGGAAGAGAGCGTTCGATCTGAGTACTGAAAGACTAACGGCACTGTGTGTAGGTCGTTCACTGGGTTGTCGGCGTTATCCTGGACAAGGAAGACGCGCGCAAGCGCGCGATCACAGTCGAGCACTTTATCCAGATAGCAGACGTACGTTCTTGCCCCACTTCCGCCTCCCTTCCCCAATGTTGACCATTCGCAACAGCGTTGCCGCGACCTGAAGAACTTCAGCTCGATGACTGCCATTGTGTCCGCCCTCAATTCGCCATCTGTGCGCCGGCTGAAGCAGACGTGGGACCAGATCAGCCGGGACTTCGCCGAGATGCTGAGCGTCTGTGAGAAGACGATCGATAGCGGGAACAACTTCGAGAACTATAAGCAATTACTTCGACGCATCGAGCCGCCTTGCGTGCCTTTCATCGGTATGTCTGTCTCCAAACAACAGTTCGGAGTGCAAGTGAGTATTGGATGTGCTGACCGGGCCTCAGGTGTGTATCTGAGCATGCTCGAGGACATCCAAGGCAACGCGCCGGATACCGTCTCGGGTGGGCTCGTCAACTTCCAGAAGCGCGCCGAGGCCGCCGTCGTGATGCAGGAGATCGAGAAGTGGCAGCGCAGGCCGTTCAACTTTGCGCGGGTGGACGTCATTGCGGATTATCTGCATGAGCAGTTGGATAGGTTCGACGACGTGTCTGACGTCGCTGATCGTTTTCTCGAGCTGAGCCTGAAGAGAGAGCCGAAGAAGAGAAAGTAGAAGCAGGAGAGCGAGGAGCTGCATCAAGACTACAGGTGCGGGAGACGGAATCACATGCGCGAGCCAGGCACTGTGGCCATGATGTGCTCAAAGAAGTGGATGCGATTCGTTCTGAGCAACTTATGTATATTATATCCGTATGCCAGTGGATAGTGTTCGCCACGGGGATCCCGAGGGTCCCTCTAGGCTACCCCGTCCCCTCGCGGACGGGGACGGGGTTGCTTTCCCACGGGGACGGGGACGGGTTCGACGGGTATGACCCTAGTGATCCTGCCCACTGAGTGCGAGTACGACTTGCTGCACCTAGCAGGAGTATCGCCGCGCCTGCAGAAAGGGTCTTTAAGGCGTTCCTGGTCTCCCCTGAGCCATGAAACGCCGTTATGAGCCATTCCCGGCTCATCGACCACAACCCGCGGGGTCGACGGGTTGGGCGCGGGTCGACCTTGCCATCCCCTTCCCCGTCCCCGCCATAACCCGTCCCCGCATCCCGCGGGGTTTCGCAAACCCGTGACGCACACTACTGGCAGTGGATGAACGTGAAAGTAGCGCAACCAGGCGTCGCAGTAAAAGTGAACGACATAACATAAGAAGGAAATCCACAGTGCAACCGAGAGCCCATAACCGTCATAAAGTAGCCGTCGTGATAAAGTATGATACATAAATACCCCCCACACCCCCCTACATCCCCATCGAAGAACCCCCGACTCAGATCTTCTGCAACCCCTTCATAGCATTCGCAATCGCAAAACTGCTCTTCGCCATGACCTGCCTGCTCTCCTTCGTCACCTCCGGCAAGCTCTGCATCTCGCTCAGCCGCTCCGCATGCTCCGTCAGCTCCCTCAGAATCTCGCGCCCCTGCACGCTCGCGGGCGGCAGCGCGTCGCCGCACACGGCGACGATGGACGACACGATCGTGATGATCTGCGTGAGGTTCTCCATGAGCGTCGGGCTGAGCGTCGGCGAGCGCACGCCGGAGAGCACGGACTGGATGGCGAAGACTATGGACTCGGTCTGCGCTTCGAGGTACGGCTGTTCCAGTCCCCATCAGCTCCATAGTCATACCCCACCGGTACCACAAAACGCGCACGAAAACGCACCTTGAGCTCGGCCCACGCGTCCTCGCCCCCCTCCCCGCCCCCCGAATCCTCGCTCGTCCCCCGCGCCCCCACCGGCGC